GAGGCAGACCCAACCTCTCAACACCTGCAGCCACCAGCAGGAAAGGTAGAAAACTGGAGGGTGGGTTTTAACCCCTTAAGGACCAAACTTCTGGAATAAAAGGGAATCATGACATGTCACACATGTCATGTGTCCTTAAGGGGTTAAAGTGTAAATTTGGTGTGTGTTAGTATGCGTGTGTGTATGTGTGTGTGTGTGTCATTATATCTGTGTGTGTGTGTCAGCATGTCTGTGTGTGTGTGTGTGTGTCTGTGTGTGTCAGTATGTCTGTGTCAGTATATCTGTGTGTGTGTGTCAGTATATCTGTGTGTCAGTATGTCAGTATGTCTGTGTGTGAGTGTCAGCATGTCTGTGTGTGAGTGTGTTAGTATGTCTGTGTGTGTCAGCATGTCTGTGTGTGTCAGCGTTGGGGTGGAGGACGTGATTGCACGCCTGGGGAGGGAGGGGACAGGCTCCAGGGGACCCCAAGCAAATCCTTTGCCCAGGGTCCAGTCAGTATTAAAGACGGCCCTGCATATATGCACATATACAACAATACAAAGCAATTACAGTAAAAATAACACAAGCAGAATACGGCAGCATACACACCTCAATTTGAAAATAATAGGATCAGCACGCTACAGGACATCACAATCCTATATCGGCACAGTGCTGCTAAAAGGTTGCCTACCCCGATATAGGGAAAGAATCAAAGGAAATTGAGTTATCCCAGGTGCTGTGACTAATGCCAGCGTTCCTGAGTGCAGTGTGTGCATGCGTTTACAGAGTCCGCCTTCGCGTAACGTGCCGATGTGCCATATGTTACTATGGCAGCGGGAGTAAATCCTAATCACCAAGGAGACACAAATAAACACCCATTGTGCTTTGAAAGATAGAAATGGAAGCGGTAACCAAAGGATGAATTGCCAAATTTGTACCAGACACAGAACATGGAAATGAGATAAAATATAACAATATCAGTGAAAGAAGAAGTAGTTACTGAGCTTGAGAATAAAAACATAAATAATTATATATATAGACAGTGCACTGAAGTTGTTCAGCATGAAGTAATTAGCTAAAAGTGCATTTTTTATTATTATTATTATTATTATTGCCATTTATATAGCGCCAACAGATTCCATAGCGCTTTACAATATTATGAAAGGGAGGATTTAATTATAAATAGGACAATTACAAGAATACTTACAGGAATGATAGGTTGGAGAGGACCCTGCTCAAACGAGCTTACAGTCTATAGGAGGTGGGGTGTAAAACACAATAGGACAGGAATGATTCATAATTAAAGTGCCAGCCTTCATAAAGTGCATAATTTACTATTAAAGTGCTAGACTGCATAAAGTGCATACATAGTTTAAAGTGCCAAACTGCATAAAGTGTGATCTATTTTTAAAGTGCAATCAAATTATAAACTGAAGATATAAAAGTGACTTTGTTTAGTGCAAAGTTTACACCTTTCATCAAGTCAGTAACTAGGATAATCAATTAACATAATAAAACTAAGAAGAATAATTAAAAACAATTTCTTATACTGAGGGTTTTTTTTTTATATCCCCCTCCCTTCTTACCTTTGCCAGGGAGGAGGGATATCGATTGTGAAGCCCTGGTGGTCCGGTGGAATCCATGGCGGTCCTAGTGGGGAGTAAACTCTAGCCTGCAACTCCTGAGGCTAGAGTTCACTCTCGCGAGAACGGGGCATTGCCATGGTAACAGTGGCAACGCTCCGTGCTCGCCAGAGGAGACCCGGCGGAGCTGCAGGCTGAGATCCCAGGTCTCTTTTCCCTCCTCTCTCCGTGCCGGCTGCCCGGCAATGTGCCTGCGGACCGATGAGGGAGATCTCTGATCTCTCCTCCGGTCCATGAAGGCACTTAGCAGGATAGCACCGGCATTGCAGGAAAGAGCATCCGCTCTCGAGGGGGCGGGGGGAATTGCCCCGTTGCCCCCCCCCCTGGATCCGCCACTGATATATATATATATATATATATATATATATATATATTTTGATATTATACACATGTATTACTACATTTGTGCAAATATATAGATGCATAATACTCCCACAAAATCACATAGATAAAGCAAAACTATATATATTTTTTTTAATTCAATCTATTATTTACAAAAAAAAAACAGATATAGATAGACACATGGATTTTTAATTAATGGATACTCACTGGGACACACACTGGCGTGTAGTCACTGATGCCCACATATACACATACTGCCATATACTCATCAACAGACACTGGCACACACACAAACTAATGCTGCATCCCATACAAACACTGGCACACAATCACTAATGCATACATACTCCCTGACATACACACACATTGATCCATACTGACACACACTGATCCATACTGACACGCACACACTGATCCATACTGACACACACACATTGATCCATACTGACACACACACTTCAAAAATACACACCACACACACTCACAAATACACCCTCAAATATACACACACTTTAAAAATTAGTAAAATTAACATGAAATACCTGGGTGCCACTGCCCACTGAGCCTACCTTGCTCCTTGAAATGATCTTTATTCAGCTCCTTCGTCCAGCTCTCTCACAGGCCTCCCTGACTGACAACACTTTACACACAGGAAGCAAAACTTCAAAAGACCTGTGTGGGCTGTCCTGCTCACCCTGATTTCATCCTGTGTGTGATGGCTTTCAGGCAGGGACCGGGACTGCCATCCTCCCTGCACTTACTCCAGACAGGAGTTGCTCATTGTCTCACTCACGAGCAGCATTGAGTTCAATTTCAAGTTCAATTTCCAGCACCTGCTGCTCGCGAGTGGATAAAGGAAAGAGGTAACTTGTGCTCTTCAGGCCCCCAATGTGAGAGTGTGTGTACTGGGTGGGGGTAGGAAGGGCTGCTGAACTGTGCGGCTCCAAGTGCCACGGCCCACCAGGAAATTTCCCGGTATCCCGGTGGGCCAATCCGGCCCTCTTTTTCAATAATCCACCTGGTAGGCTTATTGTATCATCTGTAGGCTCACTGCTGTCACCTATAGTTAAGATCTTAAAGCGAGCTTTAAGACCATGTCTATCTTGTGTGAACTTATTTGTGAAGGACACATCAGAGGTGTTAAAAATAATGGGAGCTGGTGGAATACAATAAGGATACTTGGCTAGTGAAATTAGATGTCAAAAGCCTGTATATGTCCATCCAAAATGAGGAAGGGATGTAAGCCGTAAAAACAGCACTAGAGGTTTTGGATTTATCAGAAGATAGCTCTTGATTGCATTGTTGAGGTTGGACCTTTCAGAAAATTACTTTTTGTTGGAAGATAATTTCTATTTGCAACTGAGGTGAACTTTTATGGGCTATAATGTGGTACCCACATACGCCAACATTTGTATGTGTCGATGGGAGAAAAAACATGTATATGCACATGTTTTGTTTGTACAATGTGCCACCTGTTGGTGGTACTACATTAACGATGTGCTGATGTTGTGGAGTGGCACATTTGAGTTCATACGTTTATTGAATTTTGTCAATCAGATTCATGTGGATTTTAAGTTCTTTATATAACATGAGTTCAATAGGATCTCATTTCTTGATATAGATATCAGCAAGACTGAAATTGGGTTTTATACTAACCTATTCTGAACACAGAATTTTAGGTAAACCAGAAGCACACCATGTTTTACAAGAAAGACATTCATTATCCTCTATGAGATTTGTTGTAATGGAGCATATTCCCCCCTTAGGGGGTGACAGGGCTAATTTGGATAAATACCTTAGATACATTGGGGGTTAAACAATAATATAGTAAAACTGAAATGCAAATACATTTTTTTTTAAATATTCAAAAAAGATGACTGTGTAAATTGTTACCTAAATTAGGGGTGCATCTTCCAGTTGGGCAATGTCTTCTATAGTGACTTTAATTATCCCTTGGAGTTTTCTTATGGAGTGTGATTTATTTTTGGTAAGTAATACATTCGATGTCAGAACACTCTTTGCGACGCAGTGTATATACTGTAAATATTAGTTACGGTTTATTTTAACCCAATGATTTCCAGTCATATGGTTTTGTGTAATACTTTGTGGGAAGATTAGAGAGTTTCATGCCGACAAGGCACTTTCTATACTCAAATCGCCTACTAAACATGCTTAACAGTCAAAATGAAATTGCAAGTCAAGCCAAATAGAAAACTAACATATTTTACACAATGAAATTCAGTGTGAAACGTTGAATCACCTGCCTGTACGGGATTATGCAATAAACTACAAGGATAATTTTCACTATTAGGACCAGTGAGTGCTGCCATTCATATGTTGTTTCTATCTGTGACCTGGATAAGCACCTGGCCAAAACTTAAATATTAAGAGAGAGAGAGAGAGAGAGAGAGAGAGAGAGAGAGAGAGAGAGAAGAGAGAGAGAGAGAGAGAGAGAGAGAGAGAGATGGAGAGAGTGTGTATTTACAATATTTTACTTTTTATGCACAGCATGCAGATAACTAATTAGTAAAGGACTAATTTCAACAATGAATCAATTTTGAATATGAACTTAGCCTGACATCTACCCTGCCGTGAGCAGTCTTCAATCAAAACATTTAAATTTAGAAAGAAATGTCATATTAACTGTCCCTAATTGGTACACACTTGAAATTTCCTCTAAGTGATACTTGTCTTTAATACTTAGAATCACACGAACCTTGATTAATGTTCAATGATTCATAAAACATATTCTTATTATTTTTAGAACAATAATATGTTTCTGCCTTGTTAGCAGCAGGAAGTGCTCTCTAGCAGAGCTGAAAAGTCTGTAAATGTCAGAAGAAACAAAACTAAATTAAAAACGGAACACAGTAAAACAATGCAAATATAACTGTTGCAAGAAAAAAGAAGGGTGGGGAGTACTACTTCTCTATCTTGATTAGAATTTCCAGTGTAAATCCCCAGTCAAGGCTTAAAGCCCCTCCTCTCATCAGTGTGTGATTAATAGAGGAGGGGATTACCTCACTACACTCTCCCAGGCAAGCTCAGCACTATCAGCACTCAGCACTCTGGAGGCCAGTCTGCAGCCTGGGGCTCAGCTGCCACTGCAGTGTGACATGAGAGTCCCCGTCCCTGAGCCCAGGCAGCTGCATTGCTAGCAGCCAAGAGCCCAGCCTGGCCAGCCCACAGCTCCCTGCCACTGACACCCGCAGCCAGAGCCGTGCCAATGGGCAACCTCCTCAACGGGGTCAGCTTCAAGGAGCCCACCACAGTTGAGGACTGCGATTCCACCTGGGAGACGGACTCCGGGGGGGAGGAAGAGGAGGAAGCCGAGCAGGGAGAGCGAGCAGACGGCAAGCAGGAGGAGAAGGCGGAGAGCGGCGGTGCGGACAGTGCAGCTGAGGAGGGCACCGGGGAGCTGTCCGGCGTGGCAGAGGGGAAAGCTGGCCAAACGAGAGAGGGTACAGCGAGCCCATTGGCAGAGCAGGTACAGCACTCAGTATGTGCCACATGGCACAGGCTGCCCTACACTCCTTCCTAAAACTCATGATGACATGGGGGGCTTGGCTGGTCTGCACCCTCTATGACATGGGAGATACATGTTGTAACATGCTGAGTGGTAACCTGTCATTATTAGTAGGATAGAGCATCATTCTATAATGGAACACTCAGGGGCATTGGTTAAATCCAAAATAGCGATGTACTGCATGGGAAAGGATATTGGGGTAAAATAAGTAGCACTACAAATCTTTCTCTCTCTCTCTCTCTCTCTCTCTCTCTCTCTCTCTCTCTCTATTTATCTTTCTCTTTGTATCTATTTGTCTGTCTATCTATCTTTGTGACTGCACACTTATAAATGAACTGCTAGTTATATAGTTTTCAAAGACAGGAATTGTGTTCCTCAGACCTGGGTTTAGTTTCTTTGTTGTTTAGGATGAAAGCTGGATGTCAGTGCTTTATCTCAATGGTTTACATGATGGTTATAAGTTGAAATACTGCTCACGTTTATTTCTTTACACTACTCATGTAATCCATTGCCAGAATTTCAAGGCTATTGGCATTGCTGTGGATACATTCTCTTATTTAGGAGAACTAAACAGTGTTTAATAAATGTAGCTCGGTTATAGTTATTTGAACTCTGTCTATGACTTGGGCTGGTTTTCGGACTCTGTGTAGATGATTCTGGTAAATTGCATCACATGCAGAACTTACTCCTTCAAATAGCTACATGCAAACTTTATTAATTCATCTTATAAGGGAGTCTGAGGCTATAAATGTCAATCTCAAAAGTGTTTTTATCAGTTAAATGTTTGTTCTGGGGTCGCTTTTTGACACAGCTGCTCATTTTGAATGCATTGTGAGAAATGCTTACTGATTGGAAATTAGAACAAGAAGCCACCATTACTTCAAGTAGATCACTCATCTAGTACTATAATAGCCACTCCTAAGAATGTTAAAAAAAAAAATTCTTTATTTTTCCTTTCTTTTTGTATCTTAGGTTTATAGAAATTCTACCAAAGATTCTATTTAGAATTCTGCTCTAAATTCATGTAAATTAGTTGTTTTTGGTATACTGAAAATACTTACAGACCTATAATAGTGTATGCTGTTTGAAAAAAACAAAAAACAACAATAAATATGATTTGTGTTATGTGTGGTGGCAAAATAGGAACATTTTTCAATAAAATTGGATAACATAATGGTGCTGGATGACAAAAAAAAAACAAACAAAAAAAACCCAAAGAATGTGGGTATTTATTGACAGCAAATGATTGCAAGTTTAAATGGTGATTTTGAATTTGCAAATGTATGCCAAATGCCAAAGTTTGGGTTTTAGCGAAGTTGAATATTTTTTTTCAATACAGCTGTTTTTGACAAATGTTGCAAAATCTGTATACTGTTCATAGTTTACGTTATTATTCTTTTTTATATTATTATTATTATTATTATTTATAAAGCGTCAACAAATTCGGCTGCGCTTTACAGTATAGATGTGTATATATATGACAGAGTTTAGTTGTGTCTCTTTTCTGTTAAAGATATTACTAAAGCCCTTCTAAAATTGAGACATTCTGTTGAACCGTGTGGCCTTTCATAACATTACATAATGGAACTTGTATCAGAAAAGAACAAACATATATCAAATTACAAAGCAGTAGAACCAAGTATGAGGATTGTAGAGACATATTAAATACAATATCATAGAAACTTACTAAAAATTGTAATCACTAATGGAAAAATAATCAGCTTTGTTATTATAAATTTAATCAAGTTACCTGCGCTCTCTCCTTAATCCCTATGTATTTTTAAACAAATGGAGTTTTTTTAGTTACCTCCAATGGCCATGAGAGGATAAGCCCACCTGCCAACATCAAGGCAGACCCCCTCCCGGTGGGTCCTAACTCTAACCATTCACCTTGCTTCCTTGAGCTGCTGGCAAAGATCTTTAATGAGACAGAAAGGGGTATTTTTTATATACATCCCTATATACTTATTAACCCTTAATAGGGAACACATGGGATGGGCGGCTGCATTGTAACAAGGCTGAGTGATACAAAAAATGGATACAAATACAGAAAGATAAGTCCTGCGCTCATTCCCATCACTGGGCGGCAGCAATGACTACAGTACACATCAGCCCCAATATATAGTAAAAACCAAAGAAAAACAAGTTACCTGCACTCTCTCCTTAATCCCTATGTATTTTTAAACAAATGGAGTTTTTTTAGTTACCTCCAATGGCCATGAGAGGATAAGCCCACCTGCCAACGTCAAGGCAGACCCCCCAGGTGGGTCCTAACTCTAACCATTTTTGTGTTTTTCTTTGGTTTTTACTATATATTGGGGCTGATGTGTACTGTAGTCATTGCTGCCGCCCAGTGATGGGAGTGAGCGCAGGACTTTTCTTTCTGCATTTGTATCCATTTTTTTGTATCACTCAGCCTTGTTACAATGCAGCCGCCCATCCCATGTGTTCCCTATTAAGGGTTAATAATATATAGTGGTGTATATAAAAAAAACCTTTCTATCTCATTAGAGATCTTTGCCAGAAGCTCAAGGAAGCAAGGTGAATGATTAGAGTTAGGATTCATCTGGGGGGGTCTGCCTTGACGTTGGCAGGTGGGCTTATCCTCTCATGGCCATTGGAGGTAACTAAAAAACCTCCATTTGTTTAAAAATACATAGGGTTTAAGGAGAGAGCGCAGGTAACTTGTTTTTCTTTGATTTTTACTATATATTGGGGCTGATGTGTACTGTGGTCGTTGCTGCCACCCAGTGATGGGAGTGAACGCAGGACTTATCTTTCTGCAATTATAAATTTAATGTGTGTATATATTTTTTTCTGCATATTTAATTATTGTTTGCAACGTTTTGTTGCGGTGGTACTCTTGAAAAGTTAAAAGGCTATGCATAACAAAGTAATATAATTGAAGAAAAAAAGTCAATCAAGTTCTATTTTTGAGAGAAATTGTAAGGAATTTGAAACAGACAATTTGGAAAAATATTCTAAAGGTAGTTATGCTTTCTTTTCTGCTGTATGGTCCATAATTTGAAATTAATAGTAACTGCAGCACAAGATGCTGACCAACAATCCAGACTGGATCGAATGAATTGCAAAATCAGTTTATTCCTCCCAAACAACAATTAAAATAAAAAAAGTCAAGCAGTGCACAAAATGGGGCACAAAGAGACAGAGAGGTGCTAACGCGTTTCATGCCGACAAGGCACTTTCTTTGTCAGCCCGAAACATATACCAGTCTCTCTCTTTCTGTGACCCACTTTGTTAACAATTTAGCCTTTTTCTATTTTAATTGTTGATCGAATATATTGAATTTGCTATTTATTTGATTGAGTTCAAATATCTGTTCTTCGGTTAGGACTCAGTGCTGCAGTTACTATTGGTTTTCAGTGGGGGGTGGGTAGAACTACTTTTTTAAATATTGTGAACAATGTCCAGATTTTACAGTTCAAATCCCCCTCTACACTACTGGACGGTTTTGCACGGACTCTCTTGCTATCTTCGTCACGTTACTATATATTGTATAACTGACTTAATTTTAACTGGTTTTATCCTCTTTACCTAATCTTCTATTGACTTGACTCCAGGATTATTAACATACTAAAATCACTTAATTGTACAGCGTTGATCATTGCATTGCAGAAAGAATGTCTGCAACAACCTATGGTTGTTTCTGCAGATTCTCCTTTCTAAAGGTTACATTTCTTCTGTTTATTTTACCATTGACAAAGTATTGATATTCCAGCCATGGTATGGTTTGGATTATAAATAATAAACTTTATAAATGGCAGTGTTGCAGCAGGAAAGGTTGTAATAAATAATGCAAATGTTATATCAAAGTTGCAGTGCTATTTAAAATCCTGCTAAACATTGAATAATGACCATGATCGTTTTTTAGTTTGCTAAATATTTGAAGCAATTCTTGGCAATTCTTAGATTTTTTGGGGGGGGCAAAATTACTCATTGATCAACTTGAATGAGATCTGAATTGGTGCTCAACTGAGCCCATCCACAGAATTCCACAAATACTGCATCAACGTGGGGGAGACTAGGGATTGGATTCTGTTTGCAGAGGAAGGGTTTACTTATATTGAATTGCAATTTTCACATAGATGTCAATGGAGGAATTGCTATTATTAGTAAGCAATGTTAAGAGAATCCAGACCATTGTGTTGTCGTAAGTCTGTGACAACATTTCAGTGATGGATTTATGGAGGTATGGATTTTATGGAGGTGTAGGGATTATTGTTAGAAATTATTGTGCAGATATGGACAAACTTCTGTCATACGAGATTGTGGAAGTTAGCTTCCTCTTGATTAATAGGAATACTGTGTTATTTATTAAATGGACACTACAGGCACCCAGACCACTTCATCTCATTGAAGTGATCTGGGTGCAATGTCCCAGTCCCCCTTAGTCTTGCAATGTAAATCATTGCAATTCTAGTGAAACTGCAATAATTGCATTCGGTACTAGGACTTCCTTTAGTGACTGTCAATCAGACAGCCACTAGAGGCACTTCCTGCTTGCTAGGTGACTTTTGCTTGCCTAACTGACGATGGACGTCCTCGCGCTTTACATGAGGACATTCAGCATAAGTTAAATCTCCATAGGAAAGCATTGCAGTAATGCTTTTCTACAGCGAGGGCCTAACGTGCTCACGGCACTCGCTGCATGTGCGCATTTGTCCCCGACCCCCTGTCTGAAGACGTCCAAGGACACAGAGTGTTGACCCAGTGCTAAGGGAGATCAACACTGCAATCAGGTTATTACAGAAAGGGTTTATTGACCCTTTCTGAGCTGGGAGGTGAGGGCGTATGAGGGAGGGGGATCCAGAGAGAAGTATAGTGTAAATTTTACAGCTTTGTATTTCTTACTCTATAGAATCCCTATTCCCTTCCAATGCCGTGCATAGGTGAGGGAATGGGGTGTACGATATTAACCAGTCTTTCCTTGGTAGATATTAACATTTTTCTTGCAACTCTTTGGATGAAGACATGGTTGAACATTTGACCATGTTCTTTCCAAGCTTAGAGAATACCCTGGAACTATTGAGGCGGGACACCACCACTAAATACCATGTCCACTGAGTATTCAGATGTTTCGGTTTTGTATTTTGTGTCCCCAATGTGTATTCACATGATTTTCCCTTGTTGAATGTGGTTCCCCATTTATCTTTATGTTATTGTAAAGGATTTGCATGTTTTACCTGCTCCGGGGACCACCCCAACACCTCGTTTAAAATGTATACTTAGAACGTTCACACCTCGCTTGGTGTGAAAACCGCAAGGGAAACAGTGGCGCGTGCTTCCCCTGGGTAGCCACGGTTCGTATCCCCGAATGCCACCCAGAGGCAGCATTCATGGCTCCCAGTAAAGCGCTCTGTGTTGGCGTATACACTGGAGAGAGGGATGCTCACCAGCAGGGAATCTCTGGAACCTTGAGTCAGTCTCACAGCCACAGAGTCCCGCTGGCCACATGGAATTCCGTGCCGACCAATGGGAGAAGGTGCGCCCATTCAAACTGGGTTCGCGACATTCTCCTGGTTGGTCAGTGCGAGTGAGTGCTGTTTGGTCGCTGCGGGGCGCAGACGACCAATCAGAGAAGCAGTGTCCATTTAAACTGGGTTTTGCACCCCTTCTCCTGATTGGGCGGTGGAACCCCCTCCTTCCCGAGCGCCAATTGGTGCAACCGAGTTTCACGCCCTTTCTTCTGATTGGGCAGCGAAACCCCTTTCCTCCCCAAGCACTGATTGGTGCAGCCAAGTTTCGCACTTTTTCTTTGGATAGGGCGGCGAAACTCCTTTCCTTCCCCGAACACTGACTGGCGCGATTTGGTTTGCACCCTTTCAGCTGATTGGTTGTTCCTTAGTTTAGGAGCGAAATTTGAATTAACCAAGCAACGCCATGGAACTAATTTCAGGGAAGTACAGAGCCTCGAGCCCCAGACTTTCAACGCTGATATCTCGGGCATCCGAGCGACCAGCTTTTTGCAGGGATCCCAGATGGGACCTGGGGCGCCGAACCTCAAAGTGTACCCCCCTGAATATAATGTGTTTTGATGTGTATCCCTGTGTACTGTTGGTATCTCCCAGGACGGGAGATGGCTATCTGTAACCCAGCCCCCTCCTGCCTGGGACTAAGGGAAGTGTATTGTGTTGAATGGAGACCCCCTGCATAAAAGAAACCTGTTTCAATAAAGTTGTTTTTTTCAGTATTTTAACCTCCAAAACTGTGTGTTGTCCTGTTATTGGAGGGAAGGAAGTCTGCTGTTCCAGCTTGCAGGGGATGCAATGGGGAAAAGTCCTTGTAAGGATTAAGAGCTTCCAGGGCTGAGTGTCGTCTCCACATGGAGTGCATAGAGCTAAGTCCCCTAACCATGTAAGAGTTCCTGATCGGCTGAAGAAAGGGAACTAGCGGGAGCAACCGGTCAGGTTATCGAGGCGTCCCGTTACAACTATATTTCAGAGCCCAGCAGAAAAGAGATCTTATCAGCTCTGTTAATTAACTCCTCACTTGGAGTACACGGGCCATAATGATGGGCGTTGTCTGGTTAAATGAGGGGATGGACCCAAAGTTAATTAAATAAAGAACACATGTACTTTCTTATTTAAACTTTTACTACTGAGACTGTTTGCAGTTGTGTGCTTAGTGTATAACTGACTGAGTGAAAATCCTTTAAAATGGAATAATGAATGCAAACATTGGCTAAGCATTTTTAAAAGTGGCTTTGTCACCTTAACCCCTTTTTTTTATTATTATTTGATCTATATATTCATTTGACACTCTTTTTTTTAACCCATTGTGGGTTTTTTTTCTTTCTTTTTATGAAGTTAGAAATAAGGAAAAGTTGGGACAACGTTTTGTTATGTATAATTATTGAGTTGGCAAAACATGAAATGGCGTAACTTCAGTTAAACGCCACTTTCTTTGTCTAGTCTGTCAGAGATACTCACCTCCTCACAGTGTCCTTTCTTGATGTGATGTCATTGAGCTATGAACAATACAATACACAGCCTCTAATAAAAAAAAAAGTTTACATTTTTACAGCACAGTTTGTACTTTAATCACACACAGGAGGCTGCTACTGGCCCTAGTAGGCATTTAACAGAGCAGAAGATAAGAAGGTATAAATTAAATAGTGTGCAATAAGGAAATATTTTTGTATTTTTATTTACGTTCCCCCATATATATTATTATTTGTTTTTGAGGTGATTTGTTTCAAATTTTTTCATATTTTTACTCATAATAATTGATACACATCTAGTGCAATTAAATAAACAAGAACTCAAAATAGATTCATATATCAGTTCTGATTGTTAAATGCCTGATATGTCTTGGATCTAAAGTAATGTTTGGTAGTTAACTTTGAGCTTATACAAACTCCCACACTAATGCTAAACCAACCATACCCCTTAACCAATTATTAAACTAACTCTAAACTACCCTAAACTTACCCTTAGACTTAAACCTACACTATCCTTAACCTTAAAACAACATTAACTAAAAACTAGCATTATCCCTTACCTTCCCCTAACACTAACTATAACCCTATAGCTAACCTTACCCTAACACTAACTCTTGCTCTAAATCTAACCTTAATTCTACTCTAACCACACCCCTAACAGTAGCCCCAATGAAACCCTGTGCTAATATAAATTCTGATATCACAAGATGGTTTTCCTAGTTAAAACAGTAGATAGCCATGTACTGGCTGTTTTCATGAAAGGCAAACTTCCAGGGTACACCTCCAGGGTACACCTGTGGGTCCCTGGTGTGAGCGAGATTTAACCCTGTTCACAACAAAACCGCAGAGTGTTCCATGCCGTCCTAAAGGTATTAAAGCCCACTTTGTCTAGAATGGCATGTAAGTTTTGTAATAACACTTTTAATTTTTGGTTTGCAGTGAATTTTGTCTTAATTACTCTAATAAAGTTAAACTGTTTGTTTTTGAATGTCTGTGGGGGTCCTCCATTCTTTCTTCCCCTGTGTGTTTTAGAGAACATTATGTGGCTAATTTCTATATGCTTTTATTGTGGACAGCAAGTGGTGGAGAAGACATGAGCTGTCCTTAGGAATGAAAGCTTTTCCACACTTTCCAGTGCAACAATTAATGTGAGGAGAAATAAATTAACTTTATTGAGAAAGACACCAGTTTGGTAAGCCATGAGATGTTGCAGACGGACACAGGTGCACGTAATCTTAAGCTGACTGTATCACTGTAGCCGAACCGACAATACCACAATCTATTGGTAAAGTTCCCAGTGACCCATGGTTCTGGTAGGCTGACATTGAGGCCAACCACCAACCACCTGCTGCCCAGAGGCAGTAGCCTAGGTGTCTCTGAAGGGAATCTGGCCCAGAGCAAATACCTTCACTTTTTGAGAAAACTGGGATGGGAGAATAATATACTAGTAAATTAGGTTTATTCACTAGACTTGAATTGTAGCAAAGTATTATCCAAATTACACATTTGAGGCTAAAATAGCTGATTTAGAAATTTCTCTTAAATCATTTATAGTCATAACTTCCCTATTTCATCCTACATTTTGCAATTCAGATAGAAATTGGTACAAATGGAAATGTCAGAGATAGGCCTGAATAATGATTGTGCTAAATATTAAAGGAAAATGAAGGAAACCACAAAAGAGAAAATAGTGACCCCCTTGCAAGATCCAACACTGGAACTCAGAATTTCCAATGCAACTGAACTGCACTTAATCAAGCTTTCCCATAGACTTGTGAACTATGACCATCAGCTTATTCACTAATAGGTCCTCTTCTATATTAGCCTTCACCGCTTGCAATTTAGTAACCTGAACCTTTACCCAACCACCCAAAACATGTTATGTTAAGAATATTTGAATCGTGATTTACTTCTATAATTTCAGGATTCTTGGAAACAAATTAAGCTCCTTTCATTGTACATCTGGGAGGCTTCCATACTGTGGACAAGCATGAAAACATCCGTTATCAGAGCAGCATTGGGAGCACTTTCAAGAGAACTCCCAATGCGATGCACATGCTTATGAACAATGATACAACCGGTTGATCACTGTTCATTGAGTGAACCAGTGATGTCACAGGTAACACACTAAGGCTAAAGACAGCTTTTGTAAAAGAAGCCCTAAGATACTACGAATTCAAGAGTGTTTTTTTTTGTTTCTTTTTTAAATCCTTTATTCAGGGTGCAGAATGCCAACAGGTCCAGTGAAGCAAATCATAAAATCTTTCATCCCTGGAGAAAGAAATGTGGTTTACTGCTACTTTAACCTTTCAAATAACAGTTAAAAATAGAGAGTGCCATGTACAATATAGTGATTTCAGCATTTAAGAGATTATGTGAAGTGTTCAAGGATAAGTGCGATCAGTTAAACTCTCACAGCAATTTTTCAGATTTAACGGATAAGTGGCATGCTTTCTGTTATGCTTTAACATGTAACAGTCATTCCATATCTACTTTTTAGAAAAATAAACTAAGCTTTGTAGAAACTAAGTCTCCTGACCTTAGGGCTATGTATACTATTATTTTTACAAATTTGTTTTCTGAAGTGACTTATAATATTTGTTATTGTGATTGCAAGCTACATGTTTAAGTAAATACTTGTAGATTAAAATCTTTTATGACCTTTATGAAGATCATCAGTTACCAAAACCTGAACATCTAATTGTAAACTCATGGACATTATTCCCGAGTTGTCTCTGCCCTGAGAACGTTTTCCACTGAGTGATAGGACTTTGCTGGAGATTGCCACAAAAACATTAGGTAGGTTGATTGAATAGGTTCACACCAATTTTGACAAACCATTTCTATATGGACCTCTAAATGCAAAAAAAAGCGATTGCCGTGTCAAAATATAAGTGCTGATCTCCAAATTCTTAGAGTTAGAAGTATTGTTTATAATGTCACAATGTGCTGTAGACTAACTGACTATAGAAATTCATTTACATGAATTCCCAACGATCAGTTCTTTTGAGCATATTGCTTTCAGAGGAAGTTGGTAACCTGATTGTGACTGTAGCAGCAAGGATAGCTTTATTATTCTCAACACCATTAAAGGATTACTCCTCCAGTCGTTTTTTTGTTACTGAGCCATTATTGCTCCTGTGTGTTCAGACTTAGCAATAATAACACTTACAGAGTTATTCATTAAAGTGAGACTTGCAGGGAATTAAAGGTAAATTCAGTTGTAAAGTGACACTACACTGCCCAAATACAAAAAAACTAAATCAATATTTAATAGAAATATTTATTTAATAGAAACCCAAAATTAAAATGCATGTATTTAATTATGCATTTTTTCACTATGAGTCTACCTAAAAACAGCTGACAAAAGCTGCAGATCTCTTTTCTACTGCCTTAGCAAGCCCTTCCCTTCTAACCCCGCCCAGACTTTCTGTAGCTGTCCAATCACAGACTTTGCAATGCAGCTCAGTGACAATTCTTTGCAAGTCGGTGTTCTGGGCAATTGCTTACCTATTGCAGCTCTACTGAGCTAACCAAACCAGGAAATAACAGGACCGGTTGTCTGATTCACAGCCAAGGAGTGTAACAAAGTTATTTAATAAAAGTGCCCATTTCTATTGAAATGTATACTTTTAAATATGATTCACTGTTGGCACTTACAGGGTTATTACTAAAGTGAGAATTCTAAGTGTATTTCAAATCTAAAGCCAGAGCAGCTGAATAGAAAACATAACTGACTGATTTTTCCTGTTTGGCTATACTCACCTAAAATGTGAAGTTCTCCCTGAATTCACCTTGAATTTTAACTTTAGTGAATAACCCTGATACAGCGTTTCAGCAAACTAAAGTGCTGTAGGGGTCTGGAGTGTTTCTTTAATGACAAAGTATTAAATTCTCATTTTAGTGAATAAGCCTGTTACTATTTATCAAGGAGACAGCCCACTGAGGCCTGACAAGGGTGAATGGAGGCGGCCCGCTGAAGGAGAATGCGGTCATCAAGGAGGGGAGCATAGAGGCAGGCCACTGCGGGGCAATATGGGCAGGGAGGGAGATGTTATCTTCCTGTTCCCCTTGTTCTGCTCCCTTGCGCACCCTGCAGTGATGCTGAGTGCCAGGATATGACCTGGGATATCACTCTGGTCAAACAACGCTTCAGCTCTCCCAAAGATAGAGAGGTTCTTTGGACGTAAATTGAAATAATATAAAAAAAATAATGTGAGCGTCTGAGAAAATGTGTGCATGTGTCAGGTATCAGTGTGAATGTGAGTGTGTGTGTGTGTCAGTGAGTACGTGTGTGTCAAATCAGCGAGTGTGTTTCTGTCAGTGAATGTTTGTGTCTTTCTGTCAGTCAATGAGTGTGAGTATGTATTTCTGTCAGTTAGTGTCTGTTTAGGTGATTGGCTCCCATCCGATTGCATGGGAAAGGTGTGTTTACTCGCCCTTTTTCACAGGCCTTGCCATGGCTGGCTTAATCTCCAATCTTGATAATCTCAGCCAAGCCAATGCTTTTCCATAGCAAAGCATTGGGAGGCTATTGCGCATGTGCGAATCATCATTTCCTCATAGAGATGCATTGAATCAATGCCTCTCAATAGGGAACATTCAGCACCTCCATGCAGAGCAACTAGGAATCACGTCTAGTGGCCGTCTGAGTGACTGTCACTAGAAGTGTTATTAGGTAGCAATGTCTTGTTTACATTGAAAAGCTTGCAGAGACAGGATATAGACACTAGAACCACTACATTAAGCTGTAATGGTACTGGTGACTACAGTGTCCCTTTAAGAATTATTGTTTTTTCATTGAAAATTAAGCTTTGTTTTTAAAAAAAAACTTTTTTAAGATGACTCCTAGATTTCAAGTAATTTGTCAAGACCTGCCTAACGCTATAGTGTTCCTTTAACGGTTTTCTACTTTAAGTTGCCAGCAGTCTGCTCTAATCAGCTGTGCTCCATAGCGCTCATTGCTGATGTCACAAGCTGTGATATCAACCCAGAAAAATGCATTTTCCTCAAACTAAAAAATAAGCACCAGTAACATAATGCTCATTCATTTAACTTTGTGTCACTACTTTAGCATATATATTCATGTCTCTTATATATTTATTTATATGAATGCCAATAATAATAATAATCATAATAATCATTTATGGGTCACCAGCTCTAAGCTTGTTAAATGATATATTATAGCAGACTTTTGGCTCTTTTTTAACTATTTCATAATTTTAAACTAAACTAAAGCAATTTAAATGTATGTAGTATATTAAAAATATGCAATATCTACGAGGTGTAAAAAAATAAAAATGCAGTTTCGAGGATGAAAAGATCCAATCTCAGCCTTATGGTACCTGTATGGAAATGAAACTCTGGGTGCCATAAATCCATAGATTTACATTAAAGATATAGAAAACTATTTTTTATTCCTTAATGGTAAAGATTTTGTTCCTCGCTGTGTTTTATCACATTAAAGCAATCATGCGTGTAAGGGCACAATATATAAATCTAACAAAGTGATGTTATGTTAGAAATATGTACTAATAAATATATGTTTCTTTGCTTCTATCTATTCCTCTGACTATGACCAAACATAAAACTACATAAATTGTGTGAGTAAAAGGTTTACCTGATCCATAAATTTTACACATAAAAGGGGATTTTAAGTCTAAAAATCACTGCTGCCATTGACATGAATCACTATTGCTGTATTATATGATGTTAGTATATCTGTTCAATATTTCAGTGGCACTGTGATTTTTATATATATATATTTTATGTATAGCATGTAGTGGTTATTTGCTATATATAGCATGTACTGATTTGCACATAACAACATGACAATGCATACATTTTAGATATTTGTTATTTAAAATGTTATGCTCTAATTATTTTTCAGATTAAACAATGTTTGTGGTAAGCAGCATGAAAACTTTGCATCATTATAAATATTATGTTGTAGAGCAGAATTATAAAAGTACTGGCCCGGGGCCATTTTAAACCCCTTTATATTTTCATTTAGCCCTTCCGATACCTGTCCCCAAATATAGAAGTATAGCTGAGTCCCAGGCATATCTCTCTATGACCTGGATCACTGGTGGCTTGGTGCTCATCAGGTTCATGTTCATGCCAATATTTGTTGTGAATGAGGAAGCTGGGATGCACTGTTTGCCTGTGCCGTTTGCTCATGTCAGTCTCATTAGCAAAGTTCTGACATTTGGCAGTCATGTACCAGAACTTGTGATTAGTGATGAGGTTGGCTGGGGCACACACCACAGTGATCGGTCACCAATGTCAGCACTATTACATGTTCTGGGAGGGAGCATATATTATGTGTGTATATGTCTATGCGATTGTGTAGGGTTGTGTGTCTTTGGGAGTGTGTAGCTTTGTCTATCTGCATCTAAGGGCGTCTGTGAGTAAGGATTTGTATGTGTCTATGTGTAAGAGAGTACGAATTTTTGCACAAATTCTGTCAGTACAAATCTGCTGCACCCATTGGAGACAATGAATAGGCAAGTATCCAATAATTAAACTGACTCTGTGCATAATGTGTGTATGTGTGTGCCTCCCTCTGGAAAGAGGCGAGCAGTAGTCTTATCCTTGTGCTGTTGACAGATCTGCAGATCACAAGTATTTAATCTGACAGCCGCCCGGGTATGGGGAGAGCTAGGATGTTTTCCTTTAAACAGTTTCCTAAAATGGTTGTTGTTATATATTTTCCTTCTGTGTACAGCAATAAAGGTTTTTTTTACTTTGTTGTATAACGTCATTCAACACTATTGTGTCAGTTTACCCGACCCAATACAAAATGTTTCAGAACTTCTTATACCCTATAATTTTACATAAATGCCTCACCAACATCTCTATAAACATTGTTCTCATTCACATGGTGCCATTTTATAGGGTTTCCAGGTGTTGTCCGAGGGTCGCCATACATTATCCCACCAATCAGCAGCAGACCCTCCCTCCCAGACCCTCCCACCTCCTGGACAGCATCCATTTTGAAGCTGCATTATTAGTGAGCGGTCCAGGAGGTGGGAGGGTCTGGGAGGGAGGGTCTGCTGCTGATTGGCTGGAATGTGTCTGCTGACTGGAGTCCGTGGCGAACCGTTCGCAAACCGTTCGGCGAATCGTTCGGGACATCACTAGTCACCACCTTCCCCATCATTCTTGCCCATGTAGTATGCAGTCCTTCCTAATAATAAGTTATGAAAATCAGCATCATTGATCATGTAAACCTAAACTCAAAGTCTTAAACCTCCCACACCTAATAATAATGTATTACATATTTGAAAAGTTTTGCTTTATTTTTTGTTTCTTTTTCCTCCTGGTGTATTTTTCAACTAAGGCAGAGTCAAAGTCAAGAGTTCTTATAAGTGGGTGATGCAGAGTTTGCCTCCACAAACTAGTTGGATTGCCTCCACATACAATATCACCCCATAGTCTAATTACAATTCAGATACTAAAAAAGGACAAGTGAATATAAAGGCACCAATAACACTTGTCCTCTGATTAAATGTATAGGACGTAACACAATATTTTAGAAAAAAGCAGCAACCTAAACAGTTTTTAACTCATAAAAACACACAATAAATACAAGAAATCTATATAGGTGCGCTGTGCCTTTAAGACAAAATTATTTTAAAGTGCAACAAGTGATTTAATGTGCAAAAATTTGATTTGCATTATAGTGCATGAAATTTCTTAACGCATATATAGTGCACATATGTGTAAAAACTGTGATAAAAATACACAAAGCACTCACTTAAAATGCATATGTTGTTCATCTCCATGTATCATAAAAAAGGAGGAAACAAAATACAAATAGTGTAAATCTATATAACAAAAAGTAAAAATATAATAGATAAAATGCACACTCACACGCATCACTTTTAGAGGAGCACCACATTTTAAATGTATTTTAACTTTTAACCACCCCAAAAAAGAAATCCCAAGAACATTTTTAGATGATACCATATAGCAGCTTCATCCAAAATTCCCCTTTTTATACAGTACAGTTCAGGTACCAACAGTAAAAAGCCATCTTTTTTCACCAAGGTAACTGTGTTGCTGCAATCAAAGACTTCCGGGGGGCGGAGTTACAAGTCTGCAGGCGTACGATGCTTACAAACATGCGTTCGTGCGTGGTCGAGTGTGATGAAGCATTTCGCCATATTCCCGGCTTCTTCAGATCTGCCCACTCTTGCCTGTCATAGTCTTTTATGCACATCCTTATGGGCATGTTTAACTTCCCTCCGTTCCAATCATGTAATTGGGAAAGCGTCCATATGAGAATCATTGTAATCTCTCTAAAGTGCAAGCATACTAAATACATCTTTATTAAACATATACATAGCAATTAAAAGCTTAAAAAGAATATAATATAAATGTATTCATATGGAAATAATTAAAATCTCTTCTAAATAAATCACATCTTAAAGGAACAATATAACAATATAAACCCCCCAAAATATACAATGCATATAAAAAATGTATACTTATATTGAACATATTTAAAATTATATATATATATATATGTGTGTGTGTGTGTGTGTGTGTGTGTGTGTGTGTGTGTGTATATATATATATGTATATATATATAAAATATATATACATATAAAAAGACAAACTGCTATAAAAAGAGAAAGTGAAAAAAAATTATAAATACCTCACATATTTAAATAGTCCAATATCAATAATTTACTCATAAAAGATCATAAAAAGTTTAAAAAAACAACAACAAATTCTATATATAATCTCTTTGGTTCTAAAGTTTTAAGCCTATATACCCATTGCATCTCTTTTTTTACCAATATCTATAATATGATTTCCTCCAAGCCATGACTTTTTTTACTATTTCAATTCCCAAGAATGTAAGGCCTCTTGGGTCTTTATTGTGGTATTTTTTTAAATGTGCAGAGACACTATGTTGTTCATATCCTTTGGTAATATTATTCACATGTTCATATATTTGCTTATGTAGGGGACTAATTGTCTGTCCAACATATTGAAGTCCGCATGGACATATTAACAAATAAATTAAATTGTTACTAAAACGTGATAAAATCCTTTAAAAAAAATATATATCGCTAAATTTAGTTTTGAATTGATTTATACCTTTAAGAGTTAAATTTTTACTACATTTGCATCCTGCACATTTATTACATGAATAAAAGCCTTTCTTGTCATCTAAAAATGTTGTTGGGATTTCTTTTTTGGGGTGGTTAAAAGTTAAAATAGGATTCAAATGTGGTGCGCCTCTAAAAGTGATGAGTGTGAGTGTGCATTTTATCTATTATATTTTTGGTTTCTGTTATTTAGATTTACACTGTTTGTATTTCTTTTCCTCCTTTTTTTATGATACATGGAGATGACCAACATATGCATTTTAAGTGGGTACTTTATGTATTTTTATCAGTTTACACATATGTGCACAATACATGTGTTAAGAAATGTTATGCACTACAATGCAAATCACATTTTTACACATTAAATCACTTGTTGCACTTTAAAATAATTTTGTCTTAAAGGCACAGCGCACCTATGTAGATTTCTTGTAATTACAATTCGGTGCTGAGAATTTGGTGTTTAACACAGTAATATATAATTGAGACTTTAATGGTGTTAAACAAATTAATGCTATTTGGAGAACTTTTTGATATTATGTCTTCAAACAATAAGAAATATTCATCTATTCCTTTAAATGGTACTGAAAACAAAAAAATAAGCAGTTTTTTATACTTTGAATTGCGTTTGGAGAATGAATAAAGTGTGTGGATTATATATAGGAATATTTTAATCATAATTTACACAGGTATTGCTATATAAACTATATCCAATGGATGTATTTGTCACACTTTAATGTCATATAGTGGCATAACTATAGATAGTGGAAAGACAATGCTCACCTAGCAGACATGCCACTTTGAACTTCCTATTCAATCTAATTTGCATATTCCGGAGAGATTCTCTTTCTACGTTAAGCAGCTTATATAGTGAATCCTGGGTTAAAGGAAAAGCAAAATCAGTAGACCAACTTAATGACATCTGCTCTGTTTTTGAGCTTATGGTTTTAAGCTTTGGCATGGACTTTACAAAATTGGCAGAGGTTTGAAAGCAAACAAGTGATACATTTATAATGAATTTATAATAAATAATACACAATAGCATCCCCAGCAACTTTTAAGACAAATCTTATGATCACACTATTTCAGAAGAACACTATGAAGTTTGTTTCCTAATCTCTATAATTTTAGATAAGAAATTTGGGCATGTTTAATTTATAATTCACATATCACTATCTCATGTGTAAGGGACGCATTGTGTGTTTCTGTGTATTTGTGTAAGGGACGCATTGTGTGTTTCTGTGTATTTGTGTAAGGGATGCATTGTGTGTTTCTTTGTTTGTGTAAGGGATGCCTTGTATGTTTGTGTGTTTGTAGTGTGTAAGTGATGCATTGTATGTTTCCGTGTGTATAGAGTGTAAGAAATGACTTGTGTTTCTGTGTGTAGTATGTTACGGGTGCATTGTGTGTTTCTCTGTGTGTAAGGGATGCATTGTGTGTTTTGTGTGTGTGTACGTGTCATGGATGTAATGTGTTTGTGTTTAAGGGATGCAGTGTGTGTGTGTGTTTGTTAGGGATGCATTGTGTGTTGTGGTGTTTTTTCTGATGCATTGTGTGTGTGAGGGATACTTTGTGTTTGTGAGAGGGAGGCTTAGAGGAATGTAAGATATGGGTGTGTAGGAATGAGAGCACTAGCCACCAGAGGTGAAGCCTTCTGCTTCCCACATACTGTGCAATTCAGCAATGACCCAGGTAGACCCAAGTGTGTGTGTAAAGGGCTCTAGCCACTGTGGATATAGTGCCCAGGCTCACCTGGCTCTTAAATGTGTAGAAGTGTTACACTTCTGATGGCTACCCTGATTGCCCTTTTACTCCTCTAACTGGAGTACCATAATGCCTCAAGTACTCTCCTGTTTCAATAAATACAGGGAGTGCAGAATTATTAGGCAAATGAGTATTTTGACCACATCATCCTCTTTATGCATGTTGTCTAACTCCAAGCTGTATAGGCTTGAAAGCCTACTACCAATTAAGCATATTAGGTGATGTGCATCACTGTAATGAGAAGGGGTGTGGTCTAATGACATCAACAACCTATATCAGGTGTGCATAATTATTAGGCAACTTCCTTTCCTTTGGCAAAATGGGTAAAAAGAAGGACTTGACAGGCTCAGAAAAGTCAAAAATAGTGAGATATCTTGCAGAGGGATGCAGCACTCTTAAAATTGCAAAGCTTCTGAAGCGTGATCATCGAACAATCAAGCGTTTCATTCAAAATAGTCAACAGGGTCGCAAGAAGCGTGTGGAAAAACCAAGGCGCAAAATAACTGCCCATGAACTGAGAAAAGTCAAGCGTGCAGCTGCCACGATGCCACTTGCCACCAGTTTGGCCATATTTCAGAGCTGCAACATCACTGGAGTGCCCAAAAGCACAAGGTGTGCAATACTCAGAGACATGGCCAAGGTAAGAAAGGCTGAAAGACGACCACCACTGAACAAGACACACAAGCTGAAACGTCAAGACTGGGCCAAGAAATATCTCAAGACTGATTTTTCTAAGGTTTTATGCACTGATGAAATGAGAGTGAGTCTTGATGGGCCAGATGGATGGGCCCGTGGCTGGATTGGTAAAGGGCAGAGAGCTCCAGTCCGACTCAGACGCCAGCAAGGTGGAGGTGGAGTACTGGTTTGGGCTGGTATCATCAAAGATGAGCTTGTGGGGCCTTTTCGGGTTGAGGATGGAGTCAAGCTCAACTCCCAGTCCTACTGCCAGTTCCTGGAAGACACCTTCTTCAAGCAGTGGTACAGGAAGAAGTCTGCATCCTTCAAGAAAAACATGATTTTCATGCAGGACAATGCTCCATCACACGCGTCCAAGTACTCCACAGCGTGGCTGGCAAGAAAGGGTATAAAAGAAGAAAATCTAATGACATGGCCTCCTTGTTCACCTGATCTGAACCCCATTGAGAACCTGTGGTCCATCATCAAATGTGAGATTTACAAGGAGGGAAAACAGTACACCTCTCTGAACAGTGTCTGGGAGGCTGTGGTTGCTGCTGCACGCAATGTTGATGGTGAACAGATCAAAACACTGACAGAATCCATGGATGGCAGGCTTTTGAGTGTCCTTGCAAAGAAAGGTGGCTATATTGGTCACTGATTTGTTTTTGTTTTGTTTTGAATGTCAGAAATGTATATTTGTGAATGTTGAGATGTTATATTGGTTTCACTGGTAATAATAAATAATTGAAATGGGTATATATTTGTTTTTTGTTAAGTTGCCTAATAATTATGCACAGTAATAGTCACCTGCACACACAGATATCCCCCTAACATAGCTATAACTAAAAACAAACTAAAAACTACTTCCAAAAATATTCAGCTTTGATATTAATGAGTTTTTTGGGTTCATTGAGAACATGGTTGTTGTTCAATAATAAAATTAATCCTCAAAAATACAACTTGCCTAATAATTCTGCACTCCCTGTAAATCAATAAATACTGTATGTAACATCTTCTTACCTGTGTTTTACATGGATTAAAAATACTTGAGTTTGTCTATCATTGTCAGTAATTGTTAGTGGCAGAAATACAGAAGGGCTCAACTAGTTACCTCATGAAAAAAACAAGAAGCTTTTGAACCATACATATCACAAAAAAAAAGTCTCTAAGCAATATCAATTTAAAAAGGATAAGCTGATAACATGAAAAATACATATATATTATACAGTCAGGGCCAGACTGGCCCACCGGGATACCGGGAAATTTCCCGGTGGGCCGTCGGCACCTGGGGCCGAGGAGGCAGCTGGCTCACCTGCGGCTGCAGAGGGAGCTCTTTTGGCGGCCGCAGGGGGAACTGGCTGTTCTGTCTCTGCTCCCCCTCCCCATCGCGCCGCTTAATGAGACCGGTGCTGGAATATGACGTCATATTCCGGCTTCGGTCTCTTTGTAGCGCGCTGGGGCGAGGGAGCAGAGACAGAACAGCTAGCTCCCCCTGCGGCCGCCAGAAGAGCCAGCTCCCCCATGCCGCCGCCAGAAGAGTTCCCCATTCAAGCACACAGGTAGCAATTATGTGTGTCAGTGTGAGTGTATGTGTGTCTGTGTCATGTGTGTGTGTGTGTCTGTCATGGTGTGTCTGTATGTGTCATGGTGTGTGTGTGTGTCTGTGTCATGGTGTGTGTGTCTGTGTCATGGTGTGTGTGTGTGTCTGTGTCATGGTGTGTGTGTGTGTCTGTGTCTGTATGTGTCATGCAATGTGTGTCTGTATCATTGTGTGTGTCTGTCTGTGTCATGGTGTGTGTCTCTGTCTGTCATGGTGTGTGCGTCTGTCTGTGTCATGCAATGTGTGTCTGTGTTATTGTGTGTGTGTCTGTGTCACGGTCTGTCTGTGTCATGGTGTGTGTGTGCTTGTCGTGGTGTGTGTGTGTCTGTCTGTGTCATGTAATGAGTGTCTGTCTGTGTCATGGTGTGTGTGTGTGTCTGTCACGATCTCTCTGTGTCGTGGTGTGTATGTCTGTGTGTCATGGTGTGTGTGTCTGTTTGTGTCACGATGTGTGTGTCTGTGTCACGGTCTGTCTGTGTTATGGTGTGTGTGTCTGTCATGGTATGTGTGTGTGTCTGTCATGGTATGTGTGTGTCTCTGTCATGGTGTGTGTGTGTCTGTGTCATGGTATGTCTGTCATGATGTGTCTGTGTTTCTGTCTGTGTCACGGTGTGTGTGTTTCTGTCTGTGTCACGGTATGTGTGTGTGTCTGTGTCACGGTCTGTCTGTGTCATGGTATGTGTCTGTCATAGTATGTGTGTGTGTATGTGTGTTTTTACTCACCTTTTTTTTTCCCCCACGTCGTGCTGATCTCCCCTCGGCTGGCCCTGCCTCTACGGCTGAGATCGTCAAGCTTGATGATCTCAGCCAATCCGCACTGACACAGGAAGCACCTCTAGTGACCATCTGAGTGTCTGTCACTAGGAAGCAATGTAAACACTGCCTTTTCTCTAAAAAGTCAGTGTTTACATTGAAAAGCCTGCAGAGACAGGCTATAGACACCAGAGCCACTACATTAAGCTGTGTGTGTGTGCACCTGCTAGTGAGTGGGCTTGCTTGTGTGTGTGTGTGTGTGTGCCTGCTACTGAGTGAGCTTGTGTTTTTATGTCAATGACCTTATGTATATCAGTGAGATTGTTTGTCTATGAGGCTGTGTATCAATCAGCTTGTGTCAGTGAGATTGTCTGTGTCTGCATGTGAGTATGCTTACTGTATAATTAAAAATTTTACTCTGAAAAGACCAATATTATATATTGGAAAAAGCAATATATATATATATATATATTTGTGTTCGGGGCATTCTCATATGATATGGAATACTCTGGTGGAGAGTAATACAATAAAAGGAAAAAGTCGGTTGAGGTGTGCCGAAAACCGACGTATGCTGTAGGCCGGTAAATAAAGTGGGCCCACATGGAGGAAAGTATAGCTAACGGGAGTGGAGGGTGGGGCTGTTCGTCTGGACCAACGTAGGTAAGTGAGGGAAGGGGGGAGTCCCCTTTTAAGTAGATCTATTGCCCCTCCCACAAATTCAGGCCCTGCCTTCAAACTTGTGTTCGGGGCATTCTCATATGATATGGAATACTCTGGTGGAGAGTAATACAATAAAAGGAAAAAGTCGGTTGAGGTGTGCCGAAAACCGACGTATGCTGTAGGCCGGTAAATAAAGTGGGCAAAAGATAAAGCAAGATAAACATTTATTCGGTAACATAAATACAAAGGAAATACAAATACATTATTAAGTAGACATATTAATGAAAGCCCTCCTAAGCTCTTGGACTGGGTGCGGGATGTAGGTAGCGTAAGCTGAGGACTTCCATCGACCCAATGTCTTAATGACATGCACGGGAACATTTTGGCTAGAGGCTGTGGAGGCCGCACCAATTCTGAAGGAGTGCCCCGAGTAGCTACTAGGGTTCAGACCAAGCCTGGTGATAAGCATTCGAACGTAAAGCATGAATTTTGACGTGGTGAGAATGGTATCGTGCAGCATTAGTAGAGGCCTTGTGGGCTGTGTTTGTTTCGTGGTTAAAAAGACGTCTAGTGCTTTTACTGGGCACCAATTGTTACCCGTGGGGTAGTAGTTAATGTGAACTGGTTCCCCCCTCTGACTTGTCTTAGTCTTAGGTAGAGACAGGACGTAGTAGTCTGTGTGTTTCGTGAGATGTGACGTGAGGAGGCACCCTTGGTTGTGCAGTTGGCCACTAATGGTGAATTCTCGTGGTCTAAGAAATCCGTAAAAGGCCAGATACATGGCGGCTTTAATAACCGTGTTTGTATTGGGTTCAAAAGGTGCTTGGTCGAGTAGATTGGACAGGGATTTGAACATTCCTATGTCAATAGCCAATCTTTTGGGCGTAGATGGACCGTCTGCCTTTGCTATACCCTTCAGTAGCGTGCGGATGGGGTATGAGGTTAAGAACCCTTTGTGGTTAGGGAGTGAGTAGTACATGTGGTGTTGTATCCCCGTGAGGTAAAGCTTAATGGTGTTATGTGTGAATTTTAACTTAAGGTGGCAAAAGGATGCAAAAGCCATTAGTGATGATACTTCGAACCAGTTGGTTAGGTGATGGTCAGTCATGAATCGTTTATATAGGTGAAATGCTCTGTTATATGAGTGTTGAGTGCTAGTGGACAAAGCTAATTTTGTGAGAGTGAGGCTGTGATGAAGTAGTTCATCTATTCCATGACAAGGTCTTGGAAGGTTGGCGCTGGGGTTGCCATACGAGCTGCCGAGGGTAGGGACCGTCTGAAAGCCTGAAATTGAAAGCGAGATAGCTGGTCAGCTGCCGTATTGTATATGCCGGGAACATGGGAGCATACAATGTGGAAGTGATGGGTGGCTGCCAGCCAAGTCAGTTTCCTAATGAAATTCATAATTATCAAGGAGGAAGAGCGGCCTTTGTTGATAATGTGGCATATTGCCATGTTGTCAGAGAAACAGCGTACTGACTGACCTTCCCACAACCTACACCAAGTGACAGCTGCGGCAACTATTGGGTATACCTCAAAAGGGCAGAGTTAGTGTGAAACCCCTCGATGCCCTGTGTTTCTGTTGGCCACGTCCCCCAGAGCCAATTTGTGCCAAAAATGGCCGCATATCCCGCGGATGATGCTGCATCTGTCCAAATGACAGGTGACTGAGAATCCAGCTGTGGAAGGAACATGCTTCTACCATTCCAGTCAGAGAGGAATCTGTACCACATCTGAAGGTCGGCAGTCGCAGGGCCGTTCAAAGATATGCGGGCATAGTCGTTGGTGAAGGTGGGGAACAGGGCAAGGAGCCTGGAAATGAAAGCCCTGCCCTGGGGGATTATGCGCATGGCGAAATTTAGTGAACCCAACAGAGATTGTAGTTCTTTACGGTTGCATGAGCCCCTGTGCATGTAGTGGTTAATGTCGTGTAGGATGTTATCAATCTTAGTTCTAGGGAGGCTGGCCATCATAGCTGCTGAATCGAGCAAAATACCTAGAAAGTTGATGACTGTGTCTGGACCTTCTGTCTTGGTGGGTGATACGGGGACGCCGAGTGCGGTGAATAGTTCGACAGCTTTGTGTAGGCTACACGGGGGGTTGGTGTTGGCTTCGATGAACAGAAAATCGTCCAGATAGTGTATCACATTTTGGCACCTACTGGTATTAAGGAGGAGCCAACACAAAGCCTCAGCGAATGTGTCAAAGATCCTTGGACTACTCTTGGCTCCAAAAGTGAGTTTTGTAAAAAAGTAGTAGGCTTCTTGCCACTTAACTCCGTGTAGGTGCCATAACGAGGGGTGTATAGGTAACAGTTTAAAAGCATTGACTATATCCGTCTTGCTGAGCCAGGCCCCCACCCCCGCTGACCTGATAGCTGCAATAGCGTGGTCAATAGTGAAGTACTGTAAGGAAAATTCTTCTGAAGGAATCAATGAGTTTAGGCTGGGGATGGCTGAAGAGTGGGGAGCGGATAGGTCAATGATGAGCCTTTGTTTGTCTGAATTTTTACTTGCGACCAGTCCGATAGGGATAGTTCTCCAGCTGGAAAAGGGGGGATTACCAAAAGGACCGATGACAAATCCCTGGTCCACTTCCAGCTGTAGCAAGTTAGTAACTGCGGTAGGGTTATTAGAGGCTGACTGCAAATTGTGACATTCTAACACTCCTGTTGGCATGTAAATGAGCCCCGTGTGAAATCCGTGGGTGAGACCAGTGCATAAAAATTCCACCAGGTGTTTAGAGGGGTGAGTGGACAGCATGTGTTCAAGTACAGGAACGTTCACTGGAGACAAATAAGGTTTCTGGAACATTTTATTTGTGCACATGGATCTCGCATGTGCCCGAAAACAGTGTGAGCATACATGTAATAAGCGGCAAGCGCTGTAACCACAGGAGCCTTCATTGAAGTTATTGCAAATTTGTGATTTGCCTAGGTACACAACCGGACGACCCAATTTGTCTCTGGTCTGTTTCTCAGTTTTAAGGGGGTGCTGTAGGGACGTGCTGGGAGCGTTGTCCGGGCAGAGGGGGCACAAATAAGCTGTGTGAGCGGGTGACGTACATATGGCACAAGCTGGTGTCCTGAGCCCCGCAAAGTGTCTGAGGAACAATTCATTGTCCAGTTGGCTCCAATCCATCTGGATGCCATACTGGGACAATGTGGCTGACACTTTAGATGAAAAAGACTTGTGATAGTCATAAAAAGTGTAACCACCATATTTGTTACCCAGGTCCACCAGTTTATGCATATATAAGTCCAGTTCCTCTCTCCTGTGTGGATGAACTGAGCACAGGATGTCCCTATAGATACCAAAAGACAGGACAAAATCGGGAATGGTCAATTTCTTACTGAGTCTGGGGTCTCTGGCTTTTAAAACAACAGAGATATCCCCGTAGTCGTAAGAGCGGTTTTCCACTACATCCTGGGAGGCAATGAGCAAGGAGACCAAGTTTACGTCCTTGCCCTCCAGGATGTCTTTTTTAAGATTGGCCGGAACCATGTGGGCAGGGTTAATAACGTGTGCCGCTGTCTTGTTAGGTATAGGATTACCCGCTGTTGCTGTGGATATGACCGGGGCTGTACCAGCGAGAGGCACAGGTGGCTCTATGGCGGAGCTGCGTGCCTCCAGCCTTTCCAGTCTGTCGTTGACCTTCCCCATAGAAGAGATTAGGGAGGCAACCATAGCATGGAGAGTCGGGTCTTGGGAGTTACTAGTGCCTTCCCCGGCGTCTGTCATAAGGGTGTTTGTTTTAAGCAGTTTAAACAGTTCTGCTTTCCTGGCCGTGGCCGGGAAAGGGATACTGCGTTTGCGCAATTCCGCCGTGATGCGAGGGATAGTCCACGATCTGATGGACGAGGGACTTCCTATGTCGTCCTTACGTGTCGGGGTAAGTGACCTAGCCGGGGTGCTAGGGACTGACATGTCGTCGCCATCGTCTGGGAGCAGGGACATACTGAAAGTAATAACAGGCATAGTTGGAGGCTCGTTGGAATAGCCGGTAGCTAGTTAGTGCCAGATGGCGAAAAACTTAACTCTAGGTTTTGTGGCAGGTGAGGCCCTACTAGTGCCAAGTGGCTAGAGAGGCTCTATCTATGAGTTGGCGCGAGGGGTATGGTAGCCTGCCCAGTGAACCGGGATGTTTGCCTCTCCAAGGGTAAGTATGGAGGAAGAAAAAGGGGGGGAGGGGGAGAGGGGGGTTTGGTAGTGACAGGTGTCGCCCTCTCTGTATAATTGCGAGGCGGCTAACTATGATTTGGCCCGAGGGGCGTAAAGTACCTCGAAGTGGAGGATGGGAGTTGGCCTCGCGGACCTCTATGATTAAGGGGCAGGGAATTAACTAACGTGGCGTTGTAGAAAAAGAGGCGTGTAACCGACATACCTGCAGAAAATTGAGCACTGGTTCTGTAAGAGAATTCAGGTGTCTCTTGAGTAGGGGGGTGGTTAGTTTAGGTGACCCGTCCGAGGTATGCGGATTCCTGGGGGTATGAGAATTAAGATAATGAACCCTTAAGTGGAACATATATAAATATGGCATAGTAAGAGTCCTGGGGGGGGGGGTTGCCGCGTATTACCATCCCCACCCCCCCCAATGTATATGATGTTAGTTAAGATTTAACGTTACCAATACTTGCAGAACATTCTTACCATATATTAACCAGCAATAAGTAAACATGTATGCATGTATCACATTTTAACCAGCAAGTCATACCTTATATATATAATAACAAAGAAAAATAAATTGTGTAAGGTTACTACAAACCAGCATCTTATTTAGCAGTATAAGTGTAAAACACAGCTGTATATGTATAACAGTACTTAAAAAAAAAATAATTGCTGTTAATTAGACATAGATAACCATTGTAACCAAAATGACCAAAGGTATATGCATAATAAATGGTGGAGGCTGGCTGAACTAAGGGTCAACCAGCAGCAAAGAATGACCCCCTTTAAGCAAGGTACACCCCCCCCCCACCCCCTTCCCAAGTGTGTAGTTGGTGGGAAACAGAGTCCCCTAACGTTATAGGGGTCTGGTTGTGGCTTGTGAGTGCCCTACCACATCCCCCTTCCACCCCCCCCCCTCCGCTCCCCTTCCCTGCGAAAAAGATGCCTCCCTGGTGGCCGAAAACAGAGACTCCTAGGTAGTAATGGAGTCTCTGTTCTGTGTGTGGGAGCTCCTCTTACCGCCCGGACCAGTTGGTAGGCGAGGAGGGTAGCCGAGACCTCCGTTCGGGAGCCGGTGAAGCCGCCGGAAGTTGGCGCGTGACGTCAGAAGAGGGCGCCGCGTCTCACCGGAAATGACGATTTCGACCCGGAAGTCGGGAGCGACGGAGGCCTGCGAGACAAGGCTGTTCGTCTGGACCAACGTAGGTAAGTGAGGGAAGGGGGGAGTCCCCTTTTAAGTAGATCTATTGCCCCTCCCACAAATTCAGGCCCTGCCTTCAAACATATATATATATACATCTCAATCATCTAGGGTGGCAAGACATAGCCTTACATATTACATGCGACAATATATGGCGCAATGACTTATGGGGCTGGCATAGATTTTTTTTTTCCAGGGCTGCTTTGGAATCCCCAGTCCGGCCCTGTATACAGTACACTACACTACGCTTTAACCCCTATACCACATTATCACTCTATACTACTCTAACACTATCCTTCACCCCTTAAACTACATTTACACAACAACATGAACCCTAACCATAAAATATAATGTAATAAAATGATACATAATGGTAAAGCATTTATTAAGAGAAAATAATGTCATCATGGAGTTTTGGATACATTTATAAACCTCAAGACTGAATGTCTTGCTGTTTATTATGATGTCTTCAGAACCTTTGATATAATATTTCCCATAATACATGGTTTACGGTTAGAATTTGGGAATATTACTACTGTATATTGGAATAATCAGGATTTCAAAAATTAACAGCAAAATAATGAAATTGTGTCTATATATGGTTAAAAACTACAATGAATGTCACGTATAACATGTTAAACTTTTTCATGCGTCATGGAGTGTCGGGAGGCGTGCCGCATTCACTCACCGGGCCCAACCTTGACTGAAACTCCACGTGGGTTACGGCATCTCGGGAGTGAGAGTCATGCTGTTCCTGCTCCTTGATTGCCAGCGAGGTCTGCTCAGCTGGTGACCAAGTGTAAGTGTAAGGTAGACCTGCCTTGCTCTTCGCATGCAATGGGAGGTGTGCCATGTTTGTCCTCAAGGGAGCACTTAGCGTAGAGCCTTGCCTGCTGTTCCCCACACTACTTTAGGATTCCTAGAGGGTGTCAGAACCATGGGAACCCCAACTCAGTCCATAAGGGAAGGGAGCAGCGTATGGAACAGCAGGATGAGGTGGAAATCCAATATAGCATCCCGCTATAAGTGGGGCATGGATGTCTACTCTTTAAGGGAGACCATCCACTTATATAGGCCCCTAGACCCCTCCTCATGGAAGGTTTTTCCCTTTCTCCCTCCTATTTAAGAACCGTCCACCCTAGGTTCATTGCTCAGATGTCTACAAAAAACAGTAACCAGACAAGGTAACTTCATCCTGACACTAAGCTCTTCTGTACTCATGTTCGGCCGAGACACGCCTCATTTTACTCTGTCCCTTCTCCTACCGTGGGGTGAACAGAGGATTGAACTATTTGCTATGGTGGACTCTGGTGCTAGTGGGTGTTTTATTAACATTACTTCATTACTTTAGCCGAATCTTGTCTATACCCTTACGTAATAAAGTTAAACCTATGCATATTCAAATGACTGATGACAGTCTTTTAAAGTCTGGTCATGCGATAAAAGAGACTATTCCTCTAACAGTATCATTTAGAAAAAGACATACCAAAATATTGTGTTTTGATTTGGTTCCCTCTCATTTCTGTCCTGTGATCCTTGGTTTTTCCCTGGCTTCATCTCCATGACTCATTAATTCAATGTGTCCTTCTCATCTAACTATTGCCTAAGAAACTGTTTAAAAAATAAAGACTCCTTAGGTACTCCTAATACTATTCTTGATATCAACATGCAGCATGATAAGAATCATACATAGATGTATTTGATTAAAAGGCAGAAGATGTACTACCTCCCAGACGCCTTTATGACTGCCCATAATTTTTGCAGAGAAGTCATGTGTGTTGGGGGTGTAGCTAGTCCCTGGTATAAAAGTGCAAATATCTCATTACAGTGTACAGTGCTTCAAGCATAAACCAGTTTGGTTCTGGCAAAGCCTAGACAAGTTCAGTTTTGGCAAAGCCAAGGTAAACAGTGATTTGAAAGGGGGAGAAACAGAAACATTAAGGAATGTTTCTCCAAGTTTCTTAAAAATTATGGTTACATTTCGCCATTCTTTACATCTTATTTATTACAGCGATCTAAAAAGGTGATGGTGTTCTTCATAGTAAATTCCATCAGTTTTTGTAAAAGTTTTCATTTCAGAAAATGTTAAAGTTCACAATGGCTGGAAAAAGAGAAGTGATATGGAACATATTCTATATTCAAAAAGGGTTCAAAATCCTTGCCTGGAAATTATAGACCTGTGCTGGAAAAGTATTTGAAAGGTTATTAAGGGATAATATTCAGGAATTCATTGAGAAGACTGTGGTTATCAGCAAAAATCATCATGGTTTTATGAAACATAGATCATCTCAAACTAACTTAATTTCCTTCTGCGAAGAAGTAAAAATCAGGATGTTGTAGTAGATGTAATCTACTTGGATTTTGCAAAGGTGTTTGATATGGTTAGTGTTCAAACTCAAAGAAATTGGTCTAGATGAAAATTCCTGTTCCTGGGTAGAACATTGACTTAAAAACTAGAGTAAAGAGATTTGTCAATAATGGTAAATGTTCAAGCTGGACAAAAGTGGTAAGTGGTGTCCCTCAGGGTTCTGTTCTGGGGCCACTTCTGTTTAACATATTTATAAATGATCTTGAAATAAGCATTGAAAGTCATGCTTCAGTGTTTGCAGATGACACAAAACTCTGTAATAAGTAATACGATATGAGTAATATATATTACTTTGCTGCAGAGGTATTTAGATAGACTGGGGTACTGAGCACTCAAATGGCAGATGACATTTAATGTAGTAAAATGAAAAGTTATGCACTTTAGGGAAAAGAATGCACAAGCAAGTTATACCCTTAGTGTTAGTGAATTTGGGATAGCAACACATGAAAAGGATTTGGGACTTGTTATAGACAACAAACTATGCAACAATGTGCAATGTCAATCAGCAGTGGCTAAGGCCAGTAAGATATTGTCATGTATAAAAAGGGGCGTTAATTCTCAGAATGAGAATATAATTGTGTATCTTTATAAATCAATGGACCACATCTTGAATATACTGTGCAATTTTGGGCACCTGTTCTAAAGACGGATATTAAGGCAATGGGAAGGTGCAGAGGCTGGCTACAAAATTAATAAAAGGAATGGAACATTTTAGCTATAAAGAAACGTTAACAAATTTAATATGATGATATTATACAAATATAGCAAGGCCAATTCAAACCATTGTCTGGAAATCTATTCACAAACAAGACTTAACATAGGGCACAGGGTCATGCATTTAGACTGGAAGAAAGGAGATTTAGTCTAAGGCAAAGGAAATGTTTTTTTTTAACAATAAGAACAATTAGGATGTGGAACTCTCTACCTGAAGAAGTGGTTTTATCAGAGTCTGTACAGATGTTTAAACAGCAGCTAGGTGCATATTAGCAAAAAAACACAATATTCAAGGATATCATTTTACAATTGTAGAGTAGAGATGTCGCGAACTGTCTGCCGAACTGTTCGCGAACTGTCGCCAGCGAACAATAGCATGTTCGCGTTGGTCGAACATATCCGATTTCCGGTCCGCCCCCTATACGTCATCATTGAGTAAACTTTGACCCGGAACCTCACAGTCAGCAGACACTTCCTGGGAGGGAGGGTCTGCTGCTGATTGGGTGGAATGTGTCTGCTGGCTGTGAGGTTCTGGGTCATAGTTTACTCAATGATGACGTATAGGGGGCGGACCGGAAATCGGATATGTTCGCCCAACGCGAACACGCTATTGTTCGCCGGCGGACAGTTCGCGAACAGTTTGGCGGACAGTTCGCGACATCTCTATTGTAGAGTAATTGTTTCTTGATCCAAGGACGAATTTGACTGCAATTCTGGGGTCGAGAATTTTTTCCTAGTTTGTTGCAAAATTTGAATTTTTTCAAACTGGGTTTTTTACCTTCTTTTGGCTCAACAGCAAAACAGCAAAAAACAGATGTGAGGAAGGTTGAACTTGATGGACACATGTCTCTTTTCATATATATAGTTCTGCCTGAAGAAGTGGTGAAAAAAGCATAACATTGCATAGTAAAAAAAAAAAAAATACAAATATTAAAAAACAGATAGCATTTAATAGATCTAATAAATTGCTTTTAAAAAAATCAACGAAACTTTGTTACATCTCCCCTATTATATCTGTTTCTCCACATTATTGTGCTGTGTTTTGAGATAGAGAAGTTGAACGCTTATAACAATGAATGACAGGGAAGCAGGTTTGAGGAACTCAGATCCAGGAGAGACCTAAATATAAGAATGTGGATTTCTACATTTTGCTTTTTGGACCTCACAGTTATATTTGCTAAGTATACGAGCTAAACAAACTAAAAATCCTGGGAAGAGATGTCTTCTCTTTAACACCTAATTTTGTGTCTTTTTTTCCCCCAGAACGACAGCAACATAGCCGAACCGAACATCAAACCAAAGAGGAGTTTTTATGCAGCAAGAGATCTTTACAAATATCGACACCAATACCCAGTAAGAAAACATTGTGACACTCTATTTCAGTGGCTTCATGTTCCCTATACAATGTTAGCATGAAATAAAAAGTCTGCTTTGTAGTGTCATCGTTTATGTTGGTGGCAATGATGGATAATCTGTGCGAATCTGAATTAATAGTATTAGTAAGCACTTTGCAGTCACTCTTACTATAGCAAGTTCCAATATCTGTGGGTTTTTTTATTTTCAAAGAATATTGAGCAATGTAGTAGCCGTATAAACACAACCACTCACTCTGATAATTGGAAGAATGTGAATAAGAGAATTATATTGTTGATATTCCACTTATTGCATGACTCATGTGAACATGATGACATTTTCATTGCTGTCTCTTATTTACTGTCCTGTGGTTTCACATGCCATTGCCAATTATCGTGTCACAAACAAATGGCGTTGGCTTGAAGACGCAGCAACAGTACCTTTTAATGATTGCAGTGTTGTGTTACTTTATATGAAATCTGGTTTGAAATGGCTTGACGTTTAAATAAGCATCTTTTGTGCTCTAGAAGCTCAGCTGTCATTTTGTATTAATAATGTAAACTAAACCTGCTGCAATGTTGGCATAATCTTTTGCTTACCTGCAATAACCTTACAAAAATACATTAAAATTGTAGTTTAACTTTTCAAGTGCTAAAAGATTTAGCAATACATTACAATTTAATACTACTATTTTCTAGTTTATGGTTTACATTTGTGAAACCTTTCTTAGAGATCTACAATACCTCCAAGTTTTTATAATTTGTTTGAATTATAACGTAGTAACAATATGAAATATTTCTTTCTATGTATGACTTAACCCGCCCTGACTATTGAAGGGTGAATTTAAGGTCTACTTTATCCATTTCATAGCACTGCACTATTTGCACCTGGTGTTTTAGGGGTTAGCAACTTAAACACCTGGTTTTGTGTGGTTTTTAAATTATTTCCTTTAGTGGGTGATTTTGGAGCACCCACACAGTGTTTCAGCTGCTACACTAAATATACTGTAATACATTACGATAGAAGCGCCTATATTTCACACATTTGTTTCTATATATAACAATACGAGTCTGAAAATGAAACAAACATGACACATAGGTACGTACCATGCAAGTGATGATGATGATGGTCCTGCTAAAATGAGTACATAATACAGATTAAGGAACAGCACACACATAAAAATACAGTTTTTCATTCTATAAGGCTACTTAAAATCACGTATCTAAGCAAACAAATATGGGGATTCAGTTTTACCATATCGCCACGACTTCACGGTACCCAAATATTGGTGGGTCCTATACTAATTCCAATGTGGGAGACAAATTAAATAGTGCTAAATAAGCTAAAGCCAAAGCCATGTGATAAAAACACAATAAAAAAAATGCAATGTCAAAACTGAACAATTAAAGTGATACTGCTCATATTTCATAAGATAGGAAGGTCGCAGAGACAAAATTAGCTAGCAAATAGTCACACGATGTACAGTTTCTCAAAATAAGTGCTCCGGTGGGGGCTAGAATACACAGAGAAAGCAACTTATGCTGACACGTATACAGAATTTTACAGATAAAAAGTTCATTACATATAAAGAGCATCAGATGTAGGCCTTTAATTACGCTGAACATTGGAATCAAGATATATTCCCTCACACCTCCAAAGGGGCCTTTTAAGCTGGCTGGGGTGCTCAACTCAAAATGGATCTGGTCTGGATTTCAAACTTACATAGTGAAAACAAAATGGATGAATTATTTACTCACCAGGGCTACATTTTCACTTGCTGACAGCTCGTGGTGAGTAGAAATTTTGAGCCCTGTAAATAACTATATATATATATATTATGCATTATCTGTATATCTCAAGTTGGTCTTTGAGAGGACATAATTCAGTTAATAACCCAGATACATAACATGTATTATACGACACACACAATTTACACTAACACATAGCAAATGCAGAGGGAACATTTAAAGGGAAATTATTTTGTTTTATTTTGCATGTGGTATACGCTGTTAAAACACTAATTTTCATTAAATGAGCCATCTATATAATAAAAACTGTAAATTAAAATGGCTTTGGCTTTAGCATTGCTAAAGTGCTCTATATACCAGTCATTTATCCAAAAAGCAATGTGTTGCAATTTTTTTATATTTAAATGTAGGGCACTAAACTGTTACATATTAAATAAACTATAAATACACAAAATTTGGCCGTGCACTCAAACTCCCGCTACTCCTGGCCACAGTATACATCAGCCCAAATATGTAGAACAAAAAACTAAAACAAAAGCTACCTGCACACTATCCCAAAAAGCTCTCCAGTTATTTAAATCTGCATAGGGATTTGGGATAGTTCACAGAGAACTTTTTTTTTTTTAAATTAAATAAACTATGCCTAGAGTTAAAGAGGAACCATCATGACTTACATGACTGGATAAACTCTCTTATAAGTTGGATTGTTGGGTTAACCTTTCTCATGTGACGTTTCATTTTATTTAAAATATATATTAAAGAAATAGCAATTAATAATTTCACAATCCATTTCAGTCCAAGCCCAACATTGTTTTTCTTTCTCCTCTTCGAATATGTTCAATGGTAGAAAAATGTAACATTTCTAATGATTATTGACAGGGAGTCAAAATGGAGGCACCCTGTTTCAGGATAGATTTAAATACAGCAGGGTGGATAACTGCATGCAATTTTATTTTTTGCACCTCACATTTGCCAAATAGAAGTGAACATACGATTAAAAAATACCGGGTCGGTCTATTTTTATATTTTCATTTTTCTCAGAAAATATTTAAATATGATAAAATAAGAGAAAAATGTAAAAATATGTCCAGACGCTGTAACTCCTAGTCTGTTGAGTTTTGTAAAGCTTTTGTCTTCAAGATGGCTTAATGAGATGGTTTTAACCAGAGGGAAACACTAGTTACTTGCATGTAATATATTGAAAATGGCATGTCAATGATGCAAGGGACAAGTGTATTTTGTTTCTTGCTAAAATGAATTTAGTTAATTACAAGTGCATATCCAGATTTCATAACTAAATCTCAGCATTGACCCTAAATCTCAGCATTGACCCCTTAAATAAGAAACACGAAGCTTTGCTTTGCTTCCAGTGTAGCACTGGACTTCAATATCCAAGCTTCTCCCCCAAACGCTATGGAACTAATTGATCATTCTTAGACCTATTTTGTTCAAAACTGATTGATCTAAAAATTTACGTGTTCCTGAAATGCCTTTATTTTTTTTGTAAATTCAATAAAAACTATTTACAGAAAATTGGCTATTGTAAAAAGAAGATATCCTGTAGCTTACATTTAATAAATGTCCTACATAAAGGTGTCAATTGCAGAAAGGTTGAAAGAAGTTTCATATCTTAAGCACACATTTTGTATGTTTGTTCATTTTTATGTAGATAAATATAATGGGAACTATTTTTTCCAGCAGAATTTCAAAGATATTCGTTCTCAAAATGATCTGTGCAATCTCAGATTTTACATGAACAAGATCCCTTTTAAGCCTGATGGTATGTTTTTTATTGCTATTATATACCTAGGTTAAACTTATTTTGTATTTATGTTTATTGTTAAAAAGCATTGATGGAAAAGTATTTGGCTACAGATTCAATTAATCTAACTTTAATTAAGATTTTGCCTGCCTAACCAAGGATTATCTAAAATTGCATTAAAGGCATACTATAGGCATTGAAACAGTTATAGTCTTTAAACTAAGCTCCTGCAGTCTCACTGACAAATTCTCAGCCATCTAGGAGTTAAATCGCTTTTGTTTCTGTTTATGCAGACTGACACAGTCTGCATGAAAACAAAATTGTTTCATTTTTAATCAGAGGTTAAGTTGCTTTAGAAGTTTTTATCTCCTGCTCTGTAAATTAAACTTTAATCACATACAGGGTCTAGGAGGCTATTAGAAGAGCAGGAGATAAGACATTTTAGATTAAGTAGACTGTGCAGTACATGACCTAGAATATCTAAGTTCATTTACAGAAAGTGTTTGGGAATGCTGTGTAAGTCACATGCAGGGAGGTGTGAATAGAGTTGTAAAAACAATTGGATTTAATACCCAGAGAATTGAGCATTGAAACTGCAGGGGCATGCTCTATGCGCCATAACAGCTTCATTAAGCTAAGGTTGTTTTTGATGCCTATAGTATGCATTTAAGTGTATACAATGTAAAAAAAAAATAAAACAATTTAAACTCTGTTATCATAATTGGATAGATCAAGAGAAAAACTGGGTTTCTTGTGCCTTCATGTGATTTTGCAAAGGTCAGTACGATATAACTTTAATAGAACTGGACCAGCTAGCACCAAGTACAAAAAGAAACAAAAAACAGTACCCTCCACTAAATCCAAAATATACAGAGAGTATTGAAACAGCTCATGTAATTAATGAAAAAATAAATGATAAACAAACTGCATACATGGAAGAAAGCAAACAGCAAGAGGTCACTTGATTCATTTCATGCTCAAAGACACCTGATGAGCAAGAAACACGTCAAGTGACCTCTGGCTGTTTGCTTTCTCCTGTTTGTGAGCTTTGTTATCATTTATTAAGAGCTGATAGAATATTCACCTTCTTGGTATTATTGGAGTGCACTCTATTCTATTTAATTTTTTTTTGTAATTGGTTGTGGATTGAATGAGTCCACTAAGGCCACCTGCACACTGATCCTTCTTCAGGACTAAATAAATGAAAATGTACCTTCCGTCTCAAGGTCTTGCCAGTTAGTTCATCCTTCATGTTATTTTATCTTTAAGAAATACTCATTAAAGGAATACTCAAAAGTTAAAAATGATATTGGAGAGAGTTCCCTCACTACAATAAATGACAGGACCACCCCCAACACATGAAAAAAATGACCTCACCCTTTTCTCCAACGGCAAATTCTGTCTTGCCTCTATCCCAGACTGCTCCAGGGAGATACACAGTGATAGCAGGCTTCACTTCCTCTTCAGACAAAGTTGGTGCATGCCAACAGTTGATTGTTAATTGGTCCTGTAGAGCTTGGGACAACTAAAACTTAAATACCACTTGAAATATCAGTGTTCCTTAAGGAGTAATATGGAGAGTGCCAGTGAGATCACATATATATTTTAAAGCGTTATGCTTTAGGTATTTCACAACAGTCATCCCATCTCAAACAGTGTCATTAGGTGTGATCACAGATATATCACTCTTTGGCATTTTTTTTGCAGGTGTTTATGTTGAAGACATTTTAAATAACTGGAAAACAGACTATGAAAGACTTGAACATAATCATACCTATATACAGTGGTAAGTACATGGATATCAATCAGCAAAAAAATCTAATCAAAATTAAAATATGTTATATGTCGATTAGTCAAAATAAATGCAGTACCAGTATATAGAAAACACATCTTTATTATTTGGAATTTAACAAAAAATATAACCGGACACAAAAAGGGTTTAAAAAAAATTGAATTATTTTACCTTTTTTTTTCACCCATATACAACGTATCATGAAATCTAAAATAATATTATTTTATCTTTTTTACAGGCTATTCCCCCTGAGAGAACAAGGGTTAAATTTTTATGCTAAAGAACTGACCTCATATGAAATTGAGGTAATAAACAATTATTAGGAAATCAAATTGTCCTGATATGCAGCAAATTCATTATTAAATCTGATAAAGATTTCACCTATACACCTTCTCACTAACATACTGCCTGCAAACATTCCAGCTTAAAAGCAATTTGTTTCTTCCTGTTCTATGAATATTCTTTGTTCCCTGGAAAGGAAATTTAATTGTTTGAAAGAACAGTGCCATTTATGTCTGTGCCTCAGCTTTGAGGGCCGCTGCTTCTTCTAATGGCTTACTGTGAAGCTGTGCAGGGAAATATCTTTGATGTTCTTAATAGCTTTAGAAATTCCCAAGTGACACCTATTAATGCATCAAGAAGCACAGAAATATTATTACACAAACAAATGCTATTGCAAGGCTCACATTTAATTTCACAAGTGTGCATATTTTAATAAGTGTTCTCGTTTCTTTTTTATAAACTAAATGAAAGTCACATAATGGCAATATGCATTAGAAAATACTCCATCAATCAGTAAGCACTGGTTTTCAGTTGATTACTCCCCTGGGGAAAAAAAAGTAATCTCTACAGATTAATAAACATTAAGCCCGTATATTATAATGTCTTAGCTCCAAACAGTCTTATATGAATAGGCCTGCAACATTTTACTTAGTGATGGTCAATTTTGTTTTGATTATCACTGCAGGTAGCTGCATTGTTTAGAACGAGATTAACATATTTTGTCTACACTAAAAACTTTCTTAACTGTAATATTATAAACACATTTAGACACACAAGTTTTAGAGCTGTGAAGCTTTGTGATACCCTTATCATATGTATCACACATTGCTGTGATTTTCTTTAAATGCCATGGGGCTCTGTGATACACATGTATATTCCTAGTAATGAAGGAGGAAGGTACGCATAAACAGAAAGGTTTGTGTCCAACAGAGAGAATGTTTGATTGTATGTTGCAGCTTAGTGTACATTTTCTGTCTGTGTGTACATTTTCTATTATATTGATGTATGTTCATGAACGTGACAGTGTGTATGCAGCTATGGTCCATATTTTATCTCCTGGGGATCTAATGACAGTATAACACCTGTGCTTGAAACCAGGTCTGCTATGTGTTATTGAATGTGTCAGAGTCAACACATATATTTGTATTGTTGGGGGGGAGGGAGGTTCAGTAATGCGCTGGCAAACACTTGCGATGGATAATTTATTTGTCTTGTTTTTATGTTTGACTACTGTTATGTTTTCCAACTGTAAAGGGCATCTGCAATATACCATAGTATTTTATATGATGAAAGGACTGGTTTTATCTTCACTAGTAATCAAAGTTTTACTGGCACTAGGCAGAGCAATTAGATTAATGTTATTTTATATATTATTATGTAAATAAAAAAAATTTTTTTTTCCAAAACTGTGATGCCTGTGTAAATTTTTTTTTTTTTTTTAATATCAATTTTGAAAGTGAGGTAAGTGCTCAGCAGCTGCATTATTTGTCTTAGTTGTGCTAGTACCCAGGCACTTATCAGAATACCTTCATCAAATCAACCTACACTGATCATTACAATCATGTGCCTAAAATCGTGTAGGTCCCCCAAACAGGCATGGACTCACCTCTGAAAGTGCCCTGTGGTATCTGGCACCTTACATTAGCAGCAGATCCTTTTTAAGTCCTGCAAGTTGCAAGATGTTGCAAGTTGCATCCATGTATCAAATTTATTGTTCCAGTATTACCCAATTATGCTGAATTGCATTAAGATCTAGGGAATTTGCAGGCCTAGGCAACACCTTAAACTGTTTTAGAAACATAGAATGTGATGGCAGATAAGAACTGTTGCAGGAGTAGCAGGAATAAGCCGCAGATGCCACACACAGAGCGATGGAAGCAGGTTCGTTCAGGAAGAAAAAGGTCTTTATTGTTACCGATCGGGTCTCAGATGAACTCCTGTTCTAAAAATGTCTGAGCCCAGAGCACAGATTGCAAATGCTTTTTATTAACAATAACTCCTCCCATTCATCGCTCCACCCACACATACCCTTAGACCAATCAGTGAACAGGATATTCAGGATCACCTAATATGGGCAGACCGTATGGCTGCTTTAAGGACAAAGGAATGTGATTACAGTTGATGCACATGCTCAGTACATTGATGACAGTATCTTAGCTACATGTAACTAACTAACAGATACAACAAACACCTGTACTTGTATATGCCACATGGAGATTTCAGGCCTACTGAATTTTGAACCATATTGAAATCCCATCACAGAACCATTCAGCCCATCTAGTCTGCCCGATTTTCTAAATACTTTCCTTAGTCCCTGGCCTTACCTTATATCTAGGATAGCCTTTTGCCTATCCTATGCATGCTTGAACTCCTTCACTGTGTTAACCTCTACCACAGCTGGAAGGCTATTCCATGAATCCACTACCCTCTCAGTAAAGTAATACTTGCTGATATTATTTTTAAACATTCGCCCCTCTAATTTAAGACTATGTCCTCTTGTTGTGGTAGTTTTTATTATTTTAAATATACTCTCCTCTTTTACTGTGTTGATTCCCTTTATGTATTTAAATATTTCTATCATATCCCCCTGTCTCGTCTTTTCTCCAAGCTGTTCATGTTTAGATCCTTTAACTTTTCCTTGTAAGTTTTATCCCGCAATCCATGAACTAGTTTAGTAGCCCTTCTCTGAACTCTTTCTAAAGTATCAATATCCTTCTGGAGATACGGTCTCCAGTACTGCGTACAATACTCCAAGTGAGGTTTTTCCAGTGTTCTGTACAATGGCATGAGCACTTCCCTCTTTCTACTGCTAATACCTCTCCCTATACAACCAAGCATTCTGCCAGCATTTCCTGCTGCTCTATTACATTGTCTTCCTACCTTTAAGTCATATGAAATAAATACCTTTCCTCAGATGTTGAGGTTAGAACTCTATCAAATATCCTGTACTCTACCCTTGGGTTTTTACGTCCAAAATGCATTATCTTGCACTTATCCACATTAAATGTCAGCTGCCACAACTCTGACCATTTTTCTAGTTTACCTAAATCATTTGCCATTTGGTTTATCCCTCCTGGAACATCAACCCTGTTACATATCTTATTATCATCAGCAAAAAGACATACCTTACCATCAAGACATTCTGCAATATCACTAATAAAAATATTAAAGAGAATGGGTCAAAGTACAGATCCCTGAGATACCCCACTGGTGACAAGACCATGCTTCGAATATACTTCATTGACTACAACCCTCTGTTGCCCATCACTAAGCCACTGTCTTACCCATTCAACAATATTGCAATACAAACTTGAAGATTGCTGTTTATTGATGAACCTTCTATGTGCAACAGTGTTAAAAGCCTTACTGAAATATAGGTAAGCAATGTCTACTGCACTACCCTGATCTATTATTTTAGTTACCCAATCAAAAAAGCAGTAAGATTAGTTTGGCATGATTTCCCTAAAGTAAACCCATGTTGTCTCTGATCTCGAAATCCATGTGATTTTAGATGTTCAACACTCCTATCCTTTAACATGGTTTCCATTACTTTCCCCACTATTGAAGTAAGACTTACTGGAATATAGTTGCCCAACTCCTCCCTACTATTTTTCTTGTGAATGGGCACAACATTGGCTAAGTTCCAATTTTCTGGGACTACTCATGTTAACAATGATTGGTTAAATAAATATGTTAATGGTTTTGCTAGTACACCACTAAGCTATTTTAATAACTCTGGGTGTATTCCATCAAGTCCCATTGACTTATTTGTCTTTACTTTTAACAGTTGAAATAGAACCTCTTCTTCTGTAAACTCACATGCAATAAATTACTCATTTGCCCTTTTTCCTAACTAAGGCCCCTTTCCTTCATTTTCATATTTTGTTCCTCAAACCATTCATGCACAGTTTTTGCAGTGTGTCAGGGTGCATTATTCTGCTGAAAGAAGCCACTTGCCATCAGAGAACACCATTGACATGGAGGCAGGGCCAGATTAAGAGCCCAGTGGGCCTGGTGCTGACAATTATGATGGGCCTAATTCCAAAATCTTATTGACCAAAAACACTAAAATATTCCTACCTCCTAAGCGTCATATATCTGATGGAGATGGTGCTGGAGGGAAACTCATAGGATGCAGCTATGAGAAAACACATACCCTATGCTAATCTCACGCTTTCAAGTAAACCCATACCCCTTAACAGCAGTGTCCAGTAAATCAAGAAGTCTATGGATGGGGTAAAAGGGTGGGCCACTGACACAAACACATAACCAGAACTGCCGAAAGGGACAAACATACACAAAAATGGGGCATTTCTGTGTCCCCATGTCTCCCAGTCCCTTAGTGTCTGTGTCCCCATGTATCCAAGTGTCCCCATGTCCCTAGGACACATTGAGAGACATTGGGACACTGGGAGACCTGGGGACACTGAGATACTAGGGAACACTGGGAAACGTGGGGACACTGAGACTCTCGGGACACTGGGTGACTTTAAAACATGAGGGAACACTGGGAGACATGGGACACTGAGATAATGTGACACATAGGTTACACTGTGATATATAGGGGACACTGGAGTCTTGATAAAGACCTGGGTACAGGTGAAAACGTTGCGGTGTCCAATAAACCTGCTTAAATCTATCACAGTGAGTGCCTGAGATTTTTTTCTTTTATACTAGGGGACACTGAGACACTTGGGGGCACTGTGAGACATGGGGACACTGAGACACTATGGACACTGAGACACTACGGACACTGACAGACACCAGGAACACTGGGAGAGATGGGGCACTGAGACACTCTGATACATAGGGGACACTGGAGACTTGATAAAGACCTGGGTAAAGGTCAAAACGTTGCGGTGTCCAATAAACTGCTTAAATCTATCACAGTGAGTGCCTGAGATTTTCTCTTTTATACTAGGGGACACTGAGACACTAGGAGACATGGGGACACTGGGATACATTAGGACACTGGGAGACTAGGGGACTTTGGGAGACTAGGAAACACTGAGACACTAGGAACACTGGCACACTACGGACACTGAGAGACACCAGGGACACTGGGAGACATGGGGATACTGAGATACTAGGGACACTGGCTGGGAGACATGGGGACACTGGGAGTGCCCCATGTCTCCTAGGTCTCAAAGTCACCCATTGTCCCCATCTCTCCCAGTGTCCCCATGTCTCTCAGTGTCCCCTAGTGTCTGTGTCCCCATGTCGCCCAGTGTCCCCTGGTGTTTGTATCCCCATGTCTCCCAGGGTCCCTTAGAGTCTGTGTCCCCATGACTCCCAGTGTCCCGATGTCACTAGGACGCTAGGGGACACTTAAGAGACATTGGGACACTGTGAGACATTCACTATTATTGCAATACAAATTTGTATTGTGAAACATGGGGATGGTGAGAGACTAGGGGACTCTGGGAGACTAGGGACATAGACACTAGTGACACTAAGAGACACCAGGGACACTGGGAGACACCAGGGACAGTGGGAGACATGGGGACACTGAGACACTGGCTGGGAGACATGGGGACACTGAGAGACTAGGGGCCACTGGGAGACATGGGTCCACTGTGTCCCTAGTGTCTCAGGGTCCCCATGTTCCCCAGTATCCCTATGTCTCCCAGTGTCTCAGCGTCGCCAAGTCTCTCACCATCCCCATGTTTCACAGGCTTGGAGCTGCTGTCTGGCCTCTCTGTGCAGAGCTGCTCTCCGCGGATCAGTGAGTAGAGAGAGGCAGGGAGGGAGATGTTGTAACTTCTTATCCCTGCCTCTCTCCACACAAAACAGCCCTACTGGCCAGCTCTGGTATTGCAGAATAATCTCTGTTTATACTCTGTTTATAACTGCAATACCGGCACTGGCTAGGCAGCCTCAAATACCTGAGAAATACCTGGCAACCATAAGAAATACATGAGAAATACCTGGCAACCAGGTTTTGTTTTAAATCAATGGGCCTATTCCATGGACCTGGGCCTGAAGCTGCAGCTCCATCAGCTCCTATGTTAATCCGGCCCTGCATGGAGGGGTGTACATAGTCTGCAACAATCTCTAGATAGGTGATAAGTGTCAAAGTGACATCCACGAGAATGCCAGGACACAGGGCCTGTGCAAGTATTCTCAGACACCAAGCAAATATCTAATATGCTGTCCCCTTCAATGATAAAAGGGACACCTCAAGCACCATCATAATTAACTTATGATCTTTGCATAGGTTATGGTGCCAGGAAGTGCCAATGTGACATCACATTAAGCTGCATTGGGAAGTCTGTACTTTGAAAGCCAAAGAAAGGTCTGGGCTTGATTACCAAAAATAATTCAGGACACATACATATGCACTGCACAACGTGGCACATTGCAAATAAAAGGTTCAACACACACAAACATACACAGTGCAAATAAAGTGTTCAATAAACATACACATGGGCAGGAAGTACAACGTTCAAGGCACACACACACATACACACATCAAGCAAAAAGATCAAAGACACACATCCACAGTGCAAGAAAGGTGGCAATACACACAAACTTATACAGCAGACATAGAGTCAAACAGAACAGGTAAGTAGTCAAAGCATAACTCATAAACCCTCGAGGGAAGGGGACCTATACACTTTTACACTTAAAAAATACCTCTATAAATATAAACAGCTACATTTGAACTACAGTAGCTCTTCTGTGTGATCAGACCAGACGGGATAGCCTTTGCTCACCATGTGCATTAATGAACCTTGCGCTGCCATGGCCCTGATACCGATTCACTTGTTGTCCTTCCTTGCACCACTTTTGGTAGGTATTAACCACTACATACCAGGAACACCCCACAGGACTTGTCATTTTGGAGATTTTCTGACCCATTCGTTTAGCCATTACTATTTGGCCCTTGTCTAAGTTACTCAGTTCCTTTTTGCTTCTCCATTTTGTCCTGCTTCCAACAAATGAAATTCAAGAACTGACTGTTCTCTTGCTGCCTAATATATTAACAGGTGCTTTTATAACGATATAATCAATGTTATTCACTTCACTGCCAGTGGTTTTAATGTTGGGACTGATCATGTATGTTTATAAATAGGAATACATTTTAAAAAATGTGTGTCTGTACCTGCAAGAGAAATGGTGTTTGAAATGAGAAAAAAAAAAAATCATAATATATTTTAAATGCTTTCAGATGAAGACATATAGTGCAACTTTGGGTTCTTTTTTAAAGGGTTGCTTCAAGCACCATGACCATTTCAGTGACATGAAGTGGTCATGATGGCTGCAGTCTAAATGTTTCACTTTTAAAAACTGCATTCATGGAGTTTAAACCTTTGCTGCCAAATGTACAACTCCACCTACAGCAGCATCATATGGGCTTCATTGTTATGCATAGAATTGCATTCATTGGCTGATGCTCTCAGCCAATGGATGACCAGTGAGAGCGACAGCTCTGCTGAAGTACAATGTTGTCACTGGCCACCGGGGACCTAGATAAGAGGGCAAATCATTGCAAAATGGTTTGCTCCAACACTGGGAAGAACAGCCAGGGTACTCCTGGCATCATACCCACCACTGTGGACTGGTTATCATGCTTGAAGCAACCTTTTAATAATTGCCAGCTGAGTATAAGAGGCAGTGTTACAGCGCAAAGACCTACATTTCCTTTATTTGTTATCTGTAGTTTTTTAGGAACTCACACCAAACACAAATCACTGCACTAGAATATTGTACATATAATACAATGCAGTAATTTAAATATGATTATGTTTTAATCAAATGCATGTGTTTACAGTATGTGGGATTTATTTGTAATATTCTATTTGTCTTGCAATCAATCTCTCTGTAGTGGTGTCCATTGTTTAAATCAACCTGTCTATATGTCCATCCCTCCGTCTGTCTGTCTATATATCTGTATGTCTGCTTGGCTATCTAATATCTATCTGTCTTTCTATCTATCAATCTGTCTGTCTGTCTGATTGTCTATCTATCTATTTGTCTGTTTGTTTGTCTGTCTGTCTGCCTGTCTACCTGTATGTCTGCTTTGCTTTCTAATATCTCTCTATCTACCTATCAACTATCTATCTGTCTGTCTGTCTATCTATCTATATATATATATTTCTGTAAGTTGTATTACTTTCCATTCCCAGCTATTTTTTTTCAGCATATCTACTCTCCTGTTTTGCTTCTAAGGAATTCAAAAAGACCAAGGAAGCCGTGAAAAGATTCATTTTGGCTTACAAGATAATGTTGGATTTCTTTGGTTTAAAATTGATGGACAAGAATGGAAATGTCTCACGAGCAGCAAACTGGCAAGAGCGATTTCAGCATTTGAATGAGTATGTTATTTTTTTAATTATTGCCAGATTACTTTACATTACCCTAAAGACAAATTCTGTCATTTTGTTCCATCTTCTTGGAATGCCTCTTATGAATAGATATTATGAATAGTTTCCCACATTTATGGTTTAATTATTCACAGTTCTGGATCATATAATCATGTTTTAGATTGGAATATTTTCTATATTGTTGGGTTCAATAGTATAAAAAGGTTAGAAGTGAACGCCTCCCTTACTATAATTTGAGGGCACCTTGCATATTGTAATGGGTTGAAAAGAAAAGAACTACTGATGCAGCAACTACCTTCACTTGCAAATATGTCAATTTCAAAATATTTTTCTAAGGATATAAGCCAGATGGTTTCAAAGTATGGTGCTCATTACTCAACTACTAGGTAGTTGTATCATGGAGTAAAGGTGTTTATTATAATTGCTGTTAGTGCATTTCAATGTCTTAAGTGGGACTTTCAAGAACTGTACCATTAGGGATTCGCAGCCAAATGGGACCCAATCTAAAGAGTTACATGCATTGATTTAACAGAATTTCAGATGACCTTTACTGAGATGAGATTCACTAGAACAATATGTCAGTAAAGTCTGTGAAATAACTTAGCATCCATTATGTGCCTTTAATTTTAATATTTGCAACTATTATCTGATTTAGTTAAAGATAGTGACAAATGTAAGAAACATTATGTTCTATGTCACACATAATGCACTTTTACAGTTTCTCACAGTACAGGTTTTAGCTTCCCCTTATTACCGTAATACTAAAATTACTGCCATCTTTTGTCATCCATACAATTATACATCTCAATGTGCTTTTTGCTCAAAGAAAAACATAGTATCAAAAGAAAGTAAAAGTATTAATAAAACAATGCAGAATATCTTCTGGCTCTTCGAACGTGCTTACATTTTAATCCTTTGATCACCTGGTAAAATTTGATTTCCAGGTGTAGTTAAAAAAAATAAAAATAAAAATAATATATATATTAAATACAGTGAAACCAGTACAGGGTAGGTGGAGGAGACTGTGATGGGATCTTATTATAAATCCCTAACCATGAGATGGGCTCCCATCTACTGGTGGATTAGAATGGATGTTGCCATAAGCATTGAATGAGCAACTCATAACCCTCCTTTCCCAGCCATGTCCTTTTTTCCCCTCCCCTCCCCCTCTTTTATTTTCCTTGATTTTCTTATTCCTCTTCCCTACTCTTACACACTATTTGCTAACTTTGTTGGAATGATATCTTACTTTCCAAATTCCCTGATGCTACAAAATGGGCACCACATTGATCCCAATCATTGGGTTAAAGCGAAATTCCAGCTTCTGAGTTACCTACATTGTACAATCACAAATGTATCTTTGGGTATAGTGATAGCAGTATCAAGATATGATTTATGTCTTGCTTTGTTATTTCTGTAAACATTGATCCTTTGTCTAACTACTTTCTGTAAAAAAAAGTTAAATAAAGATTGTAAAAAAAAAAAAAAAAAGAAGTGCAGTAAAACCGGAGAATTAAAAAAGAAGCCTAAAAATGCAATTTTGGTTTTACAGTTATAGAAATGAAGACTAAGAATTAAGCTACAATTTATTGTGCAAGCAGTGCTGTTTTGCACAAAGGTAAAGAAGTTAAGCAATTATTAAAATACATTCTAAATTGAATTGGACTTAAACAGAACTTTCTGGTCTGCTCCAATAAGGCTGCGGTTAAGTAGCAACTTTTAATAGCATATTTAGCGGGTACGTTACAGTAACAGATGGTCAACAGTGTAGAAAGTGGCAGAAATGTCAAGAAGAATTACTTAGTGACCTTTGAATTTAGTATTAATTAACAAACTGGTCACTTTGAGTTGCCTAGTTTCAGTGTAGTGATGAGAATGAAAAGAATGTAAGAAGAAGAATTTGGTATGTAAAAACTGGTTAAGGAACCAAATTAGCCAAACAAGGGCATGAAAATGGGACAAACAGTATACTGTGAAATATATACAGAACAAAATATTATGTATATACACTGATAGGAGTATTTTCCCACCATTTGGTTCACAGATCAATCCAGAAAAAAATAACCTATTAAGGGAAACAGAGCGTATAAAAAAAAAAAATCCACTTTTATATATTTGTTAAATATTTAATAAATTAATATCTAACTATAGATTTTCTTTATTGCGCCTCCTTTTTCCCTCTATTGGTCACTTCTAAAATGATCTGTGATTAAAATTTATATTTAGTGACTGTTACATAGAAACATAGAACGTGACGGCAGATAAGAACCATTCGGCCCATCTAGTCTGCCCAATTTTCTAAATACTCTCATTAGTCCCTGGCCTTATCATATAGTTAGGATAGCCTTATGCCTATCCCACGCATGCTTAAACTCCTTTACTGTGTTAACCTCTACCTCTACCACTTCAGCTGGAAGGCTATTCCACTACCCTCTCAGTAAAGAAATACTTCCTGATATTATTTTTAAACCTTTGCCCCTCTAATTTAAGACTATGTCCTTGTGTTGTGGTAGTTTTTCTACTTTTAAATATAGTCTCCTCCTTTACTGTGTTAAATCCCTTTATGTATTTAATTGTTTCTATCATATCCCCCATCTCGTCTTTCCTCCAAGCTATACATGTTAAGATCCTTTAACCTTTCCTTGTAAGTTTTATCCTGCAATCCATGAGCCAATTCAGTAGCCCTTCTGTGAACTCCCTGTAAAGCAGGGGTAGACAACCTGGTCCCTACCGCCCACTAGTGGGCAGTTTGGGATTTCAGGTGGGCGGTGGTGGGTTCTGCAGAAAATGCCCAGTGGGCCTCCATGGCTGCAAACCAAGGCCTGTAAGGAAGATCCTTTTATCTCACCTACCTGCCTTGCTGTAAGCACTCTCAGGCTAGTGAAGAGATCAAAGATCTCCCTCACTGGCCCACTGACACTTAGTTTCAGCAGAGGGAGGGAAGGGCCTGGGAGGCTCTGTGGTCCTCCCATGAGCAGGCTGGTCAAAGCGTTGATGCGCGTTACCGTGGCAACCCTCCGATTCAATGCTGTGCTCGCAGGAGGGCAGGAGAGTCAGCCTGCAGTAGGAGGAGCTGCAGGATATAGTGAACATGCCACCACTGGGCCACCAGGGTTGGCATCATTATGTCCCCACTCCCTGGTAAGAGGAAGGGAGGGGGAGACATTAAGATAGATTTTCTTAGGCTTCGGGAGAGGCCCTGAGGGGGGGAGGATAGAGACGGGGAGAAGGGATGGGAGTTCTACAAACGACCCTAACTGAAAGACAGATGGAACTGCAAATGACAATTGTTATTACCAAAGAGAAATTGTTACATTTAAAAGGTTATATTTCTTTTCACTCTACTTACCAATAATGTAAAAACAAAAAGAAAAATTTACAGAATGTAACAAGACACCAAACTAATGTATATTGTCATAGCTACCTTCGCAAGTCATATCCATACTCTGCAATGATACAGTGACTGTCAAAAGCATTGGCTTCTGCGCAGGCCTAATTGTACGCAATATGTTACACTCATGTCAACCAAAAATAAAGATTTAAAAAAAAAAAAAAAAAGATAGATGTTCACCTCTCATCAACCTACAAACAGCTTAGACCCTATGCACTCTTCACACACAAACAAACACTACACCTCTCACACACACTACATCCATCACATACACAGCCCCCTACACACACACACTTTCCCCTACACACATACACTGCCCCTACACAGACACACTCTACCCCCCCACAGACACTACACCCTCACACACTGCACTCATCACACACACACTGCCCCCTCACATACGCACAGGAACCCTTACACATGCACAGCACCTTCCACACATGCACAGAAACCCTCGCACACACACAGCAACCCTCACACACACACTGCACCCTTCACATAAAGCACCCTTCACACACAGCACCTCACAGACACACATAGAAAAAAAAGTAAAATAGAAAATAGAAAAAAAGGGAAAAAATAGATACATTTAAGTACATATTTTAAATAAAAACCCCTCCTTTCTAAAAAATAAAAAAATAAATCGCACTTGCGCTATGAAATTAGTTACCACGGCACTGGTGGGCGGCAAGGAAATTTTACCATCAACAAAAATACAAAAGTGGGCGGTAGGTATTAAAAGGTTGACTACCCCTGCTCTAAAGTATCATTATCCTTCTGGAGATACGGTTTCCAGTACTGCGTACAATACTCCAAGTAAGGTCTCACCAGTGTTCTGTACAATGGCATGAGCACTTCACTCTTTCTACTGCTAATACCTCTCCCTATACAACCAAGTATTCTGCTAGAATTTCCTGCTGCTCTATTACATTGTCTGCCTACCTTTAAGTCATCAGAAATAATCACCCCTAAATCCCTTTCCTCAGGTGTTGAGGTTAGAACTCTATAAAATATTATGTCCAAGATCTTGCACTTATCCACATTAAATGTCAGTTGCCACTACTCTGAACATTTTTCTAGTTTACTTAAATCATTTGCATTTTGGTTTATCCCTCCTGGAACATCAACCCTGTTACATATCTTAGTATTATCAGCAAAAAGACATACCTTACCATCAAGACCTTCTGCAATATCACTAATAAAAATATTAAAGAGAATGGGTCCAAGTACAGATCCCTGAGGTACCCCACTGGTGACAAGACCATGCTTCGAATATACTCCATTGACTACAACCCTCTGCCTGTCACTAAGCCACTGCCTAACCCATTCAACAATACTGGAATCCAAACTTAAAGATTGCAGTTTATTGATACGCCTTCTGTGTGCAATAGTGTCAAAAGCCTTACTGAAATCTAGGTAAGCAATGGCATATGCACCACCCTGATATAATATTTTAGTTACCCAATAAAAAAATTAAAAAACAACAAGATTAGTTTGGCATGATCTCCCTGAAGTAAACCCATGTTGTCTCTGATCTTGAAATCCATGTGATTTTAGATATTCAACAATCCTATTCTTTAACATTGTTTACATTACTTTCCCCACTACTGAAGTAAGGCTTACTGGCCTATAATTGCCCGACTCCTCCCTATAACCTTTCTTGTGAATGGGCACAACATTCGCTAACTTCCAATCTTTTGGGACAACTCCTGTTAACAATGATTGGTTAAATAAATCTGTTAATGGTTTTGCTAGTACACCGCTAAGCTCTTTTAATAACTTTGAGTGTATTCCATCAGGTCCCATTGACTTATTTGTCTAATTATAGTTCAGACTGAGACAAATCTCCAATTCTAATGTGAATGAAGGGATCTATAGTCAAAAAGAAATTGAAAATATTAAGGTCTGAAGAAGAGACAAGTTGTTTTGATGGGGTAGATGGTTTGATGAGTTGTTAAAAGAGGACTCCAATCATCATTATTATTATTATTATTGTCATTTATATAGCACCAACAGATTCCGTAACGCTTTACAATATTATAAGAGAGGGGATTTAACCACAAATAGGATAATGACAAGAAAACTTACAGGAACGATAGGTTGAAGAGGACCCTGCTCAAGCGAGCCTACAGTCTATAGGAGGTGGGGTGTAAAACACAATAGGAACGGAAATAGCAATCAAATGGGTGTCATCAGCGTACAGGGGATAGTGGAATCCAAAAGAGGTAATAAGTTTGCGAGGAGAGGCAGTATAAAGAGAAAATAGAAGGGGACCAAGCACGGGGCATGTTTAAGGTCAGCAGGGGCAATGCCAGAAGAGAGAGAGCAGTTGAATATGTGTGTTAAGGAAGGCACAAGACAAGGGGAGAGGGATCTGATAAGGTGAGATGGGACAGGATCAAACGGGCAAGTGGTGGGGCAGCCACCTCTTGTTCATTAGCCGGGGAGAAAGTCTGAAGGGTAGAAAAGGCATGATCTACGTGTGGTTGAGAAAGAGAAATGCAGGGTGGGGAGAATGCTTTCCTTAGCTGTTCAATCTTGTCGGTAAAGTAGCATGCAAAGTTATCGACTATAAGGTTAGTTTGAGGAGTGGCCACAGCAGGGCAAAGGAGAGAGTTAAAGGTGTCAAAGAGTGCCTGGGATTGTGGGAGCATTAACTAATGAGAGAGGAAAAGTATGGCTGTTTGGCGAGGGCAAGGGCTGCGCTGTATGTACCTGATATGAATCTATACTGGGTGCGAGACTTCCTCCAGGAGCGTTCAGCACAACAGGAGCATTTTTGCTAGTAGCGTGTTGATTTAGCATGCCATGGTTGGGGGTGTGTCCTCCTTGAGGTGCATGTTTGGAGCGAGGCTGCAGCGTTCAAGACAGAGGGGAGGGTAGTGTTATATGTGGAGATGGCCAGTGAGAGACAGGAGAGGAAAGGGATTGATAGGAGTTGTAAATCAATATCAAATCAGCTGACAGCTGCTGGAGGTCAATAGAATTAAGGTTCCTCCTGAGTTGAGGGGGGCTTAGGCTGAGGTTGTTGGATGAGGGGGTATTCGAGAGCAAATGATAAGAGGTGGTGGTCAGAGAGGGGAAATGGAGTGTTGGAGATATTAGACACTGTACATTCATAAGAGAAAATTAGGTTGAGGGTATTGCCAGCTGCATGGGTGGGAGAATTAGCCCACTGCAATAGCCCAAGGTAGGAAGTAATTGAAAGTAGTTTAGAGGCTGCTGAGGTCAGGGGTTAGTTAATGGGAATACTGAAGTCTCAGAGAATTAGGTATGGTATGTTAGAGGAGAGGAAGTAGGGTAGCCAGGCAGCAAGGTGGCCAAGGAAGTGGAGAGGGGAACAAGGAGGGTGATAAATAATGGCAATGTTAGCGGAGAAGGGTTTGAAAAGGCAAATCAAATGGATTTCAAATGAAGAGAAAGAGAAGAAAGAGGGTGGGTAGTGGTTTGAAGGAGCAGTGAGGCGAAAGAAGAAACCCTGCACTACCGCCTTTACATTCAGAGTGTCTTGGGTTGTGGGTAAGTTGAAGGCCACCAAAAGATAAAGATGCAGGGGTAGCAGTGTCAGAGGGGGAGAGCCATGTTTCTGTTAAGGCTAGTAAGTCTATGGAATAAGAGATGAAGAGGTCATGGACAGCAATGGATTTCGTAATATTGCAAACAGAGCGTGCATTCCAGCGGGCAGTATTGAAGGAGCATTTAGAGGAAGAGTAACATGAGATGGGTATGAGATTTTTGTGGTTCCTTGAGTTAGTACGTGGTGGGTTTGCCGAGGTGAGACCAAGGTTTGGAGAGACATCACCAGCTGCTAGTAGCAGAAGGATAGAAAGGAAGTGAAGGTGGGAGTAGGATTTGAAAGTTTTGTAAGAGAGTATGTATATAGAGGATATGGGAGGAGTTGGTGGAGATAGGCTGGAAAGGTACATGTAGAGTGCATGGGATGAATAGAGAGGGGAGGGGAGTAAAGTGGGGGCAATGAAGATCGTGTCACCAGGGACAGGTGAGCAGAAGGCTAGGGATATTTTGGTGATAAAAGAAGTTAGAGTTATAGGCACAGTTAATAAAACAGTGCAGTCACTAACAAATAAAACTTTAATCTTGGAACATAAAATAGCTGCCCTAGAAGACAGATCAAGACAATTTAATCTAAGACTTAGAGGAATACCTGAAGATATAACAACGGAGAAACTAAAAGACTATTTATGCAGCCTATTCAAAGAAGTCTCTCCTGAGACAACTGATTATCAAATAGAAAAATTTCATCGAATACGAAAACCTAATATAATCGCAGCACATCTCCCAAGAGATGTTATAGTGAGCTTCTGTTCACTTTCAGCTAAAAACAACTTGATTAAAGCCAGACGTATTAACCCTTTAGAAAATTCTGCCTATAAAGATATATATTTTTTGCAAGATCTATCTTATTTTACTAGAACATGGAGGAAGTCTTTCTCAACTCTTACGGATTTTTTGAGGAAAAAGGACATTAGATTTCAGTGGAATACTCCGGCTTCCTTGAAATTCACTTGGAGACAAGAAAGACTTTCCTTCACTGATTCGGACGAAGCAAAGAGTTGGTTAGCAAGAATTCAAATATGAAAACAACTAGACTGTGGAAGTGGAATAAAAGGGGAGGAAGAAAAGAGAGAGAAAAGATATATATTTTTTTTTTCTCAGAAGAACCTATTTAAATCCTATGATATATGTAATTTTTAAACAACAACTATAAGAAGGAAGAGAATCTATTATCATAACGATATATCAGAAAAGTAGTTCTAATATGCACATGGTTGGAGCTTAGGTTATTTGCAATGCATAAAAATGCATGAAGACAATGTGTTGTGGGATAGAAGGTTAGAAAGAAGAGAGAGAGAAGGGAGGAAGAGAAAAGGAAAATAATTTTTTTTCTCTCTCTCTCTCTCTTTTGTGATAAAATTAGTAATTTGGCTTAGGACATTAAAAGGTTATGCAAATGCAGATATTTTTATACAAATTAAGCAGAAAAAGTACTTTAAAAAGTTTTTATTCATTATAAGATTATATTAGATAAGTACCTCTTATATTTCTATGTACATATTGTTGCAGTCTAGGATATCCGTAACGCATAAAAATATATGAAAATAATGTGAAGTTGATGAAGTAAAAGGAGACATAATAGTTATTATAAATATCTGTTCACATTCTAGTTAGGAGGGGAGGAAGGAAGAGGAAAGAAAAAAGAAGGGAAAAAGGGAAAAGGGAACTACTCATTAGGCTGTTAATATATGGATGTATGGGAACAATGTGACAGACCATGTTATAAAATAGACGCTTGTAATATACTTCACTTAACTTTTATTCATTTTGGAATGATTTCATTTAAGCTGTTTATTAAGGTTTTTTTTATTTTATGTTCAATTAGAAAAATCTGACTAAGATGTGTGATAGATAGAATAGATTGACATTGAGATGGGTCTTTCAAGATTTGAAGATTGTTTAGGTATATTTTAGGAATTAGAAGTAAAGGAAAAAGTGGTGTGGTTCAATAAGGACAAATTTGATAGAAACTAAATATGTTTGTATGTGCACAAGATTGAATTAGAAAAATTGTATGGATTGACTCGTTCACTATTGCACACAAAGGGAACAGAAAAAAGGATGGAGAAAGGAGAGACAGGGAAAAAGAAAGGACACACGGAAATAATGTAATGAAACACGATGATAAATAGGTTATTATAAATATTTTTCACTTAACTGACACCTATCTTAGATTAATTATATTCAATTGATTGATTAGGTTTTTTTTTTTGTTTTTTTTCTGAAGACCCATTTAAAATGCGCGACAGATAAAATAGATGAATATTGAGATGAGTCTTTAAGCTTGAAGATCACTCGTTTATACTTTATTGTACATAGGATAGAACAACTGGAAGTGATGAGGGAGGAAAAAAAGGAGGTAAAGAGAAGGGAGGCCTTTTTTTTTTTTTGTAGCCATAATATTTGGTGAAAAAATAGAGGTAGAAATAATTCAACAAATACAAGATGTAGAAGGCAGATTTTTGATAATAATATGTAAAATCAATTCTAAGATATTCACACTTTGTAATGTTTATCTCCCAAATTATTCACCAGCTTCTTACTTAAGATCTATCCTAGAAAAAATAGAAGAAGTAAAAGTAGGAAATTTAATATTGGCTGGAGATTTTAATGCAGTCATTGATCCACAATTAGATAAAAAAAACTATGAGAGGAGTCAAAATAAATAAGATGGTAGTTAAACAAGCTAAATCCTTAAAAAACATAAAAGATGAATTTAATTTGTTCGATATCTGGAGAATCCATAATCCAAATCTGAGAGATTATACACACTTCTCTAAAGTCCACTTTTCTTATTCAAGGTTGGACATGATCTGGACTGATCCTAATCTTATCGATAAAGTTCAAAAAGTAAATATAAACGAAACAGTTTGGACAGATCATAACGGTGTAGTATGTGTAATTGAAGTAGGAAAAAATTTAAAAGAGCCATACAGTTGGCGTTTAAATGATAGTTTGCTCCGTTTTGAAGCGAATAAAAAATCTATGGAAATAGAGGATATCGATCCATCCATTTTGTGGTGCGCCTTTAAGGCAGTAATAAGATGTCATTTTATTAAACTCCAAAGCCAAACTGATAAAAGTATTAGTCTATCTTACCTTTATGGTCAGTTAGGGAAGCTGACTCAAAACAACAAACATAACCCAACAGTTGAAAATTCTGAAGAAATATTAGCAATAAAGGATAAAATTAACCAAAAATTAATGGAAAGAACGGTTAAAAGTTTAGATAGATTAAAATTAAAATATTATTCTAAGGGTAACAGAGCCGATAAACTGTTATCACAAAAATTAAGAAAACAAAAGGGTATAAATAAAGTAGAAAAACTTATAAATAATGGAACAACTGTAGTAACTCCAAAACAAATAGGACAACAATTCAATGATTTTTATAGTAAGTTATATAACATTCCTCAAACTACGACAGATGAAGATATAAAAAAATATCTAGAAAAAATAAATAACTTTAAATTAACAGAATCACAAAGTGAAGCAATAAATAAAGATATAACTATGGACGAAATAATGAAAGCTATAAATAATTTGGAGGAGTATAAAACCCCAGGTCCAGATGGATTTAGTAATTTATTCTACAAAATATTTAAAGAACTAATTTGCCCTTATATGACTAATGCCTTTAACAGTGCAGCTAAAAGAGGATCTCTCCCAACAGATATGTTAAAAGCTAATATTTTACCAATTCTAAAACAAAATAAAAACCCTACTGATGTTAAAAATTACCGTCCAATATCCTTGATAGATGTTGACACCAAACTATACGCTTCAGTGTTGGCCGCTAGAGTTAAAAAACTTATACCACTGATCATACATCAAGATCAAATAGGTTATGTCCCTGGAAGAAACTCTTATACAAGTATTAGGAAAATTGTCAACATCTTAGATGACGCTAATAGAAATAGAGTTCCAGTTTTGGCTCTGTCGATTGATGCTGAAAAAGCATTCGACAGAGTCAACTGGATTTATTTGGATGCTGTACTGTCGCATTACGGTCTTGACAGTTGGATTAAGAAAGCCATCATGGCCCTTTATGCAAATCCATCAGCATGTACTAAAGGACCAAATATTATAGCCCCATGGTTCCAACTGAAAAACGGCACACGACTTTCACCGTTATTATATTTGCTTTCTATTGAACCATTAGCCGAGAATATTAGAAACAATAAAAAAATCTATGGCTATAAAACATTAGATGTAGAACAGAAATTAAGTCTATATGCTGATGACATCTTAATTACCATAACAAAACCGGAAATTTCATTAGATTTTTTAATGTCAGAAATTGACAGTTATAGTAAAATATCTAATTATAAATTAAATATAAATAAATCCATGATTCTGGACATAAATTTGGATGAACAAACTAAAAATAAGATCAAAGGTAGATATAATTTTTTATGGGTCGAAAACAACATGGACTATTTGGGAGTTAAACTGACTAGAGATGTAAATAAAATAATGGAAATAAATTTCTTGGATTTACTACAAAATCTTAACAAATGGCTGAAAAATCGAAGAAATTTAGAAATATCTTTCTGGGGAAGGATAAATGTAGTTAATTCATATGTCATTCCAAAATGGAACTATATGTTCCAAATGTTGCCATTAAGTATTTCTAACCAGTGGTTGGAATTAATACAGAAAAGTTTCACTCAGTATATCTGGAAAGGTAAAAAACCAAGATTGAGTCAATCAACACTAACACAAAAACTGAATAGAGGAGGACTGGCCTATCCTCTAATATCAAATAACTACAGGGCAGAGGTAATTTTACATATATATAGGATGCAAGTAGAAGAAAACAAAAATGAAAGTTGGTATAAAACAGAACTTATTGCAGGAGGAGCTCCTAGCTTGGATTGTTTAATTTGGAACACCACTACATTTTTTCAAAAAAAAGATTATCCTAGCATAACGTTAACACACTTAATGAATAGTTGGCTTAAAATTAAAAAGACCCTAAAAATAGAAAACAAAATTCCAACTTATCTAAAATTAGATCTTGTAGAACAACAAGTCGCAGATATAAATTTAAAAAACTGGAATCAAGCAGGAATTTTGCGACTGTCTCAACTACTTGTAAAAGATAAAATTAAAACTTTTGCTCAATTAACACAGGAATATAACTTACCAACAAAAGAGCTGTTTAACTATTTAAGACTTAAAAGTTTTTTGACAACACATCTAATTGTATCAAATACTAATTTGAATAATGTGTTAAATATACTTTTCAATACAGACAAGATAAATAAACCACTCTCAAAAGCTTTGGTATTAAGCAAAATGTGCAATAAAGTTAAAACTCCAACAGCTATAACTGCCTGGAAAGAAGAATTGAATATGGATATAAATATCAGGCATTGGGGTTCCTCATTGACAGAAGTTTTGAAGTATATACACTCGTTAAATCTACTAGAAACTCATTTTAAAGTCATAAATAGATGGTACTTAGTACCAGACAAATTGAACAAAATGTACTCTTCAGCAAACCATCTATGTTGGAGATGTGGTATAAATACAGGCACTTTTAAGCATATTTGGTGGGAGTGTAGCAAATTGAATAATTTGTGGTTTAATATTCAAAAGTTTGTATCCGTAGACTTGAACCTTGAGTTGAGGCTCTCTCCGGAGACTGTTTTGCTCCATTTAAACTGGCCGGCAATGACAAAGGATTCGAAAATTATTCTTATCCATCTTTTTTTAGCAGGAAAAATTGTGATTGCTAGAAGATGGAAAAATGATAGAGAAGTTCCTTGGGATCAAGTTAGAGCCCAGCTTAAGTTTCAAGTAAAAATGGAAGTGTTATTGAGCAAACAAAAATTAAGTAGGAAAACAACAATTTGGACGAAATGTTGGGAGAAGATTGATAAATAGAGGGTTTTTTTTTTATATAAAATTCAAAGTGAATATTAAGGCTATCTGTTAATGCTTTGGACAGTATAATATAATATATAATATGAGATAAAACATACACTTTTACTCGATGAGTTTCTTCCCTTCTCTCCTGCTGCACTGTCTTGTCTATGTAGATGTGTAAGTCTAAAATATTGTTAGTTTTTGGTTAATTGAAATGTGTAAGGGAACATCTTATGGATGAATATCTTAAATAGGAAAATAGTTTCTTTACCATTTGTATGTAACTGTTGTATTGTATTGTCTTTTTTATGGAAAAAAAGAAAAAAAGGGGGGAAACCCTTTAAATAAAGATGAATTAAAAAAAAAAAGTTAGAGTGAAAGTGAAAAATAGAAGGGAGAACATTATTTAGAGAAAATGTGCTTTGTTGTATAGATATGAAGATTATACATATATATATACACACACACACATATACCTATAAGTGTTTAAACCATGGTTAAGGATTCAGTTTGTTAACAGAGTAATTTTAGGTGAGGAGAGGTTTAGTGAATTGATTGGTGTGTTTTGAAAACCAGCTGATCTGCACTATCTATAAGTATGGTAATGACCATTGGGTGGGATCTTGCGGGGAGGGTGGGCCACCTTCCAGAGATGATACCTCTGCTTAGGCTTTTCTGCAATGCCTGGTTACTTTTCAGATCTAGGAGTTGCTAATCAATGCTGCTATTTGGGGCCCAGTCTGAAATAAAAAGGTAAGGGTTAGAAAAAAACAAAACAAATGCACTTACATGCTAGAGGGAGTGGGGTATAGTGACACAAAGGGTATAAGTAGGGGTAATGAAATAGGTTGCTTAAAAAGTAATCATCTTATTGTCTGAGAAAATTAGCTTAAATAGACACTCCGGTCACCAAAACAACATATTCTCAAATGGTTTCATCCCAAAGTGTGCCTCCAGCACTGATCTGCACGTTCCCCAGACGGCATCTGACTTCTAAATCTCAGATTCAGGAAGTGTGGAGTGCCTCTAGGCAGTGGTGCCGATGACTGACTTAGAGCGGTCAGTTGATGCTCTAAGCCAATCAGTAGCTCCCCATTGATAAAGTTATGTTTTTTTTCTTTTTATCAATGGGGAGCTGTTGATTGGTTAGAAGAAGCTAAATGGAGTGTAGGAAACACAAAATATCAATATATCCTATGTCAGGGCTTGATAAATGTGCTTGTGTAGTGGTTCTGGTGTCTATTCTAATGTATACTCTGCCTTTTCAGAAAATAAGGCGGTGTTTACATTTCTTCCTAGTAACACAGGTGGCAGTCACTCAAGAGGTCACTACAGGTGCTTCTTAGTCCAGTGCGGCACCTACATTTAGCACTGAATGCTCCCCATAGCGATTGGGTTGGCTGAGATTATCAAGACTGTTTATCTCTACCATGGTGGCAGAACCCGCCATGGTGAGACTGGCACAACTTGGGTAAAAATACCTTTCACATGCAATCAGAGAGGGGCAGGTCATCTAAACAGACACACTCACTGACAAATTCACACACTCACTGACAGACACACACATTTTCTCATACACTCACTAATTATTGTTATTTATTTTTTAAATTTTAATCTAGCCTACCCACAGTGAATACTGTCAATGGGGTCTAGTATGGCTGCTGTAATCTTCCTGTAATCTTCCTGCTCTTACTGCTCTGCTACCTGCTCCTATTTAGTGATACCGGGGCCAGAATACTGTCATATCCTGGCTGCCATCATCACAGCAGGACACCTCACCACCCAGCTCCATTCTCCCTCAGCCGCTGAACGGGCTGACAAACTCCCAGACACCAGGGCAAAATTTATAGTCACCATGGCAACCTGACGCCTGGGATTTGTCGAGTCCTGTCCTATGTTATTTACCAAACATTTTTTTAAACTATTAGTTACCAGACTTCTAGACGATGTGTTAATAAGAAAGCATTCTCTGTATCGTAGAGTTGATCAGATCCTCACTTATTGCATCTATTACAGCTGATTATCACTGGATAGATAGAATGTCATGACACAAGATCAGAATGACAATTAATTTTTTCAAGACTTTCAGTGTAATTTGCTGATTTATGTATAGCACACTGTAGCCTGGAGTCATGTTGCATTAAAAAAAACTCTATAATAGTAAAAATAAATATATGTATTTTCAATGTTAAAGTATGACTTACTGTGTTTAGATTACTGGCTTTTTCAATTTTATTTAAAAAATAAACGTTAAATAAAGCTGTAATTCCATGTTGGGGCAGTCTATACTGTGCAACAGCTCCACCTATCTGTAATGATTACTTCTAAATAACTGGGGACATAGGACTCGCTGCCACTATAGTGAAGTACTGAATCAAATGCATCTCTCTAAGAGGTATTGAACACATTCGGTGTCATCATGCTGCGCATGATGATGCCCAAAGTGAAGACCTTCAATAACAATTGTGTTCAAGGTGTGTTTTCAAGGCGTGTTTTAAGCAAAATGTAAGCATTGCTGTTTGTCATAAATAGCAATGATTTACATTGTCAGACAAAGAAGCAAATCTAAGAGTCAGATTTGACCATCATTTAGTAATTTAAAAATATGTTATTCCTTACTACAGTGATAGAAAACTGTTTTAGAAAACTAGCATTTGTCGAACTCATGTCATTTACAGTACACTTAACTTTTCTTTTTATAGGTCTCAGCACAATTACTTGAGAATTACCCGCATATTAAAAAGTCTTGGGGAGCTTGGCTATGAGAACTTTAAGTTTCCTCTTGTGAAACTCTTCCTCCGTGAGTCAGTTGTTGAAAACACAATCCCAAACATGAAACAAAGCGCTCTGGAATACTTTGTATATACAATAAAGGAGAGAAGGCAGAGGAGGAGACTTTTGCGTTTTGCTTATCGCCATTACCAACCTCCTGAACACTTTATTTGGGGTCCACCTAGAAGACAGAAATTGAACGAATACAAAGTAATTAAAAAATCAACACCTCCAACGAGATCTCAGAAAAAGCCTCTCCAAAAATCAAAAGATACAGAGAGTTTGTGTAAACCTGAAATTTCAGTACTGACTGACTCAAAAACTGAAGTACTAGCTAAACAATCAACTGAAAATACCTTTGTCGAAGAAGCAGTAACAATCAGTGAAGAAGCAACGGAAAGTGAAAATGGTTCAAAAGAACATTGTGACAATGAAGAAACAACTGTCACATCTCTTGAGAATGCATTGGATAGACAGGATGCTGTAACTAACAACACTATGACATGTGATATACGTGATGTTGTTATAGTGGACTCAACAGATGTGGAAAGCAAGGACTGCTTATGTAGCCTTTCACCTGCTAATCCTAACACAGTTGAGCTGACAGTACCTGCAGGAGAAAATCTAGAACCTACACTTGAGAGAAAAGATGAGGCAAAGTAGAAAGACTAGATGCTAGATTATTATTTTTTTAATAAATTACAAGGTGATATCCATAGTATATCTAAAAGGAATTTTGGTATATTGTTTCAAGTTGTCGTTTTAATGGTAAGGTGTACAGACATTCTGAATCAGTAATGTCTATATTTTGCACAACCAAAATACGTTTTTTATGAGTCAGTCTGGTGCTTCTAAAATTGCATATTAATGTAATTCACAACATTCTATAGAGGATGTATGGGGGAGAACCATTATGGGTTGCAAGGCTTCAGATGACACATCTGTGTCTGACAGGGTTATTTACTAAAGTGAGAATTCAAGGTGACTTCTCAATGAATTTCAAATTTAAGGCCAATGTAGCTGGCCTGAAAGCCTCGCTGACTTAGGGAATATTTCCAATTTGGCTATTTTGACCTTAAATTTGAAATTCCCTTTAAATCTACTTTGATTATGACTTTAGTGAGTTACTCTGTGAATGTTATATATTTTTAAAGTCTAGATTGAAGGTTTTCTAATTGAATTATGTCCACGTAATATATATTCACATTCAGTAGATATAACCTGTGTCCTGTAGGTTAAGATGAATTCAAATTTCAGTTACCATAGATAATAAATATTATATTTTTATTATTAATATTACTACTGTTACTGTGTCACTTGCATTACCTTTAGTATACACATAAGTGGAACTGTTGGACTATTAAAGTAAAAATTACTGTTTGCTAATCACCCATGTGGTTGCTGTTGGAGTCTGTGTAGTTTTGTGTGTCCTTGCATTCTAGGTATCAGATTGGACATCAGAATGCTGACACGTTCACATTTGCCATAGATGCAGTTTTAGTTTTTTAAATGATACTGTCACTTCCCAGATTTTTTAATATTAGGTTTACTTTAAGATACATGCCAGGCACCAAAACAAGTAAATCTAATGAAGTTGTGATGGTACCATGAGCCCCCTGGAGGCATTCTTACCTCAAGGGATTAAACCATTCTTGAAAGGCGATGTTCACTCTCACCAAAATGACATCTGGCTTCTGGATTTTTACTAAATTTTTCAAAAGGTATGTTTCTTTCCAAGCCAGTTTAGTAAATAGGGATTTAGTGATTGGCTGAGAGCGTCAGCTGACTACTTTCTTCCAATAAGTGGCGCCACTGCAATCTGCACTTCCCAAATTTTAAAACTCAAAGGCAAGATGCCGCCTGGGGGGACATCGTCGCTGGAGGTAACTATGGGGTTGAACCGTTCAAGAAAAGTTTAACCTCTTGGGGTAAGAATGCCTCACCAAGGGGCCTCACCATTTAGATGTCGTTGCTATGGTGCTTTGAGTGTCCCTTTAACTTGTATATTTAGCAAACATGTATTTGTGAGGTGTGAAAAATAAAATGTAAATGTATAAATCACACCTCTTTATCCTGCAACTGGATGCCTCCCCCTGGGCCCCTTGTCATTGTTACAAGATTTACCCTTAGCACGTGGCAGAAAGCATAAAGAAAGCATACATAGAAGAATTAGAGATTAGCCTAGCCAGAGGTGTAACTAGAAACCACGGGGCCCAGGTGCGAAAATTTCCCTGGGGCCCCCCCCGTACGTCTACATAGAAACATAGAATGTGATGGCAGATAAGAACCATTCGGCCAATCTAATCTGACCAATTTTCTAAATACTACCCCCTGCCACCCTCCCCCTGTACATCTACCCTCGCCCTCCCATACGTTCCCACCCCCCTCCACACATGCAAACAGATACACATGCAGACACTCACATATACAGAGAAACACACACATACAGACACACACACATACATACAAACACATACATACACACACACAGACACATACATAGAGACACAGACAGACATACACACACACATATATACAGACACACAGACAAACATACACACACATACATACAGACACACATACAAACAGACACACAGACAGACATACACATACATACAGACACACAGACAGACATACAGACACACAGACAGACATACACACACATAAAGACATACACACACATACAGACAGACACACATACATATAGACATACATACTCGTAGAGAGACACACACAAACACATACAGACAGACACACACACACAGACATATACACACACATACATACAGACACACAGACAGACATACAGACACACAAACAGACATACAGACTCACATACAGACAGACACACATACATACAGACATATAAACACGCAGAGAGACACACACAAACACATACAGACAGACACACACACAAACAGACATACACACACATACATACATACATACAGACATACACACACACACATACATACATACACACAGAAAGACAGACACTCACATACATACAGACACACAGACAGACAGACACTCACATACATACAGACATACATACACACACACATACAGAGATTCATACAGACACACATACCTTTCCCTAGGGTCCATTTGCTCAGCCTGATGGGAGTCAGAGTTCCCACTCTGGCTCCCTCCTCTCCTTCCTCCTGCGTGGCTCCTGGTTCTTGCTGGGAGGAAGTGACCGGGGCAGTCACTTCCTCCCAGCCTCTGACCTCATCAGAGGCTGTTAAAGCGCTAACCAGGCCCCCTGAAAATAAAAGGCATCAGGTGGCCCTAACAGCATAGGCCACCCAATGGTCCCCTTCAATCCGGCCTTGGCGGTTACACCTCGCGGGCCGGGGCCGCATTACTTAGCCGGCGGGACCCATGGTTGCAGGGGTCCGCAGGGCGGCTGGGCTCCTTGGAGTGATGTTCCCGGTCCCCAGCAACTGCGTTAGTTCCGCCACTGAGCCTAGCCTTGGTGATGGTATAGTCTACATTTTAATAAAGACAGAAGGCAAATATTTGCATCACTCCCTTTACTGTAAACTCCCAGCAGCAAAGAACAGAACTAGTGAACAATAATAATAGTTATAAGCGATTTCAATGTTTTATTCAATAAAATATGTTTAGTTTCCATAGATGTAAGTATTAACTTTAAATCCCATAGAATGATAAAAAAAAAGTTGTGAAGACTAAGCTGATTAGGGCCTGATTCAGACCCAAGACCAAGACAGTTATACTTAAGTATGGTAAACCCTATTGACCTCTTATCTGTAAATCTGTGCTTTGATGTTATGTGGATATAAGCAACAATAACTACTGTTTATGTCTCTTCTGTGTAATTTAGCACATTTCATTATTATTACTAATTACTTTGTTGTAATTAACCTTCTTTGATACATTGCTGAAATTACAGAAGGCTTTAGTAAAGTGCATCACTATATATTAAAACTGTCTTTTTGTCTGACTCATATAACCTACTGGCAAAGCTACAGTATCTAATGTGTATACTATGATGTTTACTAGGTATATACATGTTGTCATTAGGGTTGTATGCTTTCTTTAACTTAATGTTTATTGCTCCACTATTAATGTTTTAAAGGAACACTCTAAACGCATAAAGCACTTTAGTTTGCTGAAGTGCGTTATGTGTGAAGAGTGTGTCCTCTTGTTTTTATTTTACAAAAAGTACAGATTTCAAAAGAAATTAACCCTGTTACACCCTTCGATGTCAATCAGACAACTGGTCCTGTTACTTCTGGGTAGCTTCCATACGTGCCAAGTGTATCTAGTTAAGAGGGACAGTCCTGATTTTTGGTCAAAATGCCTCTGTCCATTTCTATCCTAATGTCCCACTTTTGTAAAAGCTCCATATTAATCATGTGTCTGAATGTATAGCATTGCCCTGTAGCAATAATACTCACAGCAACAATAAATATGTTTAGAAATCAGTCTGTATAAATCAAATACATTGTTCTTGTTTTAAATTATATCTTATCTGTCTAAAATTGTTATTGGTAATGTCTCAGAATGGCCACACACCCACTCACACACCTAAAATGAACATGTCCCTGTTTGTCAATTAAAATGTTGGGCAGTGTGGTATGGTTTAGCTAAATAGAGCTACATCCAGAGGCAGGACGTTGCCCAGAGCTTCTCCCTTGCAAAGTCTTCTCTTCAAGATCTCTCATGTAGAGGAAGAGTGTGCCAGGATCTACAGGAGTGAATATCTGGATTTCATGGAATTAACAGGAAACAGAGGAGTTGGAAAAAAAGTTGCAGATATATGTTCTGTTAATGGCTAATAAAATCGAGTTTCAATGCCAAACTGGCAAATTGTAGTTTAAAAGAGAATATTGCTGAACGCACATGTGAATGTCTCTTGTCTGTGTGTGTGCAGAGTGTGTCCTTTATTATTTGACAAAAGGTGCAGATTTCAATATATTTATTTATTTATTTATTTTTTAATACAAATTAACCTTTTAGCCATGTTACACTCCCTTGGCTGTCAATAAGACAACCTGTAATGTTACTTCCTGGTTGTTTAGCTCAGTAAAGATAAACTCAAGAGGCTGCAATTGCCCAGTAAGCATTGTAATGCTGAATGCATGGTGAAAACAAATGAGCATGAGAATCTTCCAGAATCTACAGACCTGCAGCGGTATATACATTGAATGCATTATTTACATCCTATAATTGTGAGTGGCCATTTGTCTTACATTCAAATACTGAGAACACACAGCTTTGCACTATGATGTGCCATTCTTTTTCCCTAATATGATTCACCCTATTCATATACATTACTCTGATCAAATGTAACAATACTCCAAAGACCAAATGCACTTTAGCTAGCTGAAGTGCTTTATGTGTGTGCAGAGTGTGTCCTTCTATATCATTTGGCAAAAAGTGCAGATTTGGCTCTGTTGGCACTCACCCTTACAAAATATGTGTTTAATCTCTGCCTTGGGGCAATCCCGTGTTGATATATAAATTGAGTAAGGAAGGGAGCACTCACAGGTCTTTCCGTGCAAACAAAGTATTGTAGTTTATTCTAAAGTTTACATAACAGTGAAATTTGCTCAATCAACGTTTTGACCCCTCAGGGTCTTTCTCAAGATCAAAATAATAAGTAAATATTTTCCTATTTAAACTATTACATTTACCTGTTATTTTGATCTTAAAGGACCACTATAGTGCCAGAAAAACATACTCATTTTCCTGGCACTATAGTGCCCTGAGGGTGCCCCCACCCTCAGTGTCCCCCTCCCCCGGGCTGGATGGCGAGGAAAGGGGTTAAACTTACCTTTATTCCAGCGCCGTGTGGGGAGCTCTCCTCCTCCTCTCGGCCTCCGATCCTCCTCTTCGGCTGATAGCGCATGTGCGGCAGAAGCTGCGCGCGCATTCAGCCGGTCTCATAGGAAAGCATTTACAATGCTTTCCTATGGACGCTTGCGTGTTCTCACTGTGATTTTCACAGTGAGAAGCACGCAAGCGCCTCTAGCGGCTGTCAATGAGACAGCCACTAGAGGATTTGGAGGCTGGATTAACCCTTTTTTAAACATAGCAGTTTCTCTGAAACTGTTATGTTTATAAAAAAGGGGTTAATCCTAGAGGGACCTGGCACCCAGACCACTTCATTAAGCTGAAGTGGTCTGGATGCCTAGAGTGGTCCTTTAAGAAAGACCATGAGGAGTCGAAAAATCAATCGAGCAAATTTTACTGTAATGTAAACTTTGGAATAAACCACAATATTTTGTTTGCACAGAAAATACCTGTGAGTGTTCCCTTCCTTATTCAATTTATAGTAAGGAAGTAACATGACAGGTTGTCTGATTGACAGCCAAGGGGGTGTAACAAGGTTATATATATTAACCTTGTTACACCCCCTTGGCTGTCAATCAGACATCCTGTCATGTTACTTCCTGGTTGTTCAGTAAAGATAAACTCAATAGGTAGCAATTACTTAGAGCACCTGTTTTGCATAGACTTTACATTGAGCTGCATTGGAATATCTGTGATTGTACAGCCACATAGAGTCAGAGCTGGGGAAGGAGTGGGGATTTGCAAGTTATTTTTAGATATGCCACAATGAAAAATAAATAATTAAATGCATATTTTTCTGGGGGTATATTTACTAAGCAGTGCATTTGTATGTGGGCAGTGGAGTGTCCCTTTAATTAGTAGCTTTGTGGTTGTGTGTATCATCTTTATAACTGGGTTTATTAAACAGGAGTTTATTAAAGTAATACTAATTCTAAGTAACATGGACCCATGACAGTATTCCACAGGCAACATAGACTTCCTGGGTGACATGTAAAGTATCAGAAGGCTATACAAAGCAACTTCAGCAGCTTCCTAGATGGATATATCAAAGAACACAGAAGTAAATGATAACACTGCTGTCATCATGATGTATAGACATTGTCATATCACAAAAAAGACGGATTGATCACGTCAACACGCAACAACTATAAGGACCATACAAGAAAAGGTGAACTACATCATATATACACACTATATTTTACAATTAATTATATAATCAAAATAAGATTCCAGCTTTCATCAACTATGAATTCTCCAAATGACTCAGCGATCAAAGAAAATGTGGTCACGTGACCCAGCAGAAACACCAGTTGTCTTAGCTACCAATTTGATATAGTAACAAAAACTACCTCAAAACAGGAAAATATACAGTACAATATATAAAGTCCTATGTAATAACCTTCAGTGAAATGCACAGTGTTAATGTTTAGTTCTTATAACCCATTATAAAAAGAGGCTGAGAAATCAATAAATGTGCATTTTAGTCTTATTACACTATATACATTATATTATAATAAGCTGTTACTGTAATTTGTGCTCCATAGTGAACATTTATTTATTTATTTATTTATTCATATAGAATATATAATTGTAATGCAATAGTAAATCTATCTGCTTATAAAATGAAATTCAGTGATTTGTTTTAATTACCAGTGCACAATTACAGATGAGAACCAACTTTTAAATGGGGACAAAAAGGAAGAGATATATTAAAATTACTTTTAAATCAGAAAAGAGGTTGAGGCCCTTAGGACTCTATGTATCAAGTTATCTTATCCAAAAACACTCCCTAGTGGTTCTAGATATGGTCACCACAACTGAGGGCGTATGACAGCAATAGTGCATTTTTAACATCTATAGAAAAAAGTATTTGAGAAAAGAGTGATTATCCAAGTGATACTAATACATAGAATGTGACTGCAGATAAGAACCATTCGGCCCATCTAGTCTGCCCAATTTTCTAAATACTTTCATTAGTCCCCAGCCTTTCATTAGTCCCTACAAAAAAAATTGAATAGCTTCTAAACAAATAATACTCATATCAACCTAGCTTCTAATCTAACACTTGTGCTACTTTCGGCAAATAACTATTAGATCTTACATTAGTCAACTGATACATTATATTATCTTGGTGCTAAATTTTGGACTGAATCATAGGAAAGCATAAAAAAGTAAAAGTGTCAGGAACAAAATTGTGTCTTAATATGATTTTGTGGATTGTGGATTCTGATCATAATAAACATATATAAGTATGTAAAGAAAATCATGATTTGAATATACAGAATTTTATGATACAATGGTGCAAAATGTATAGAACGCTTTCAATGCTTTCCTATGGACGCTGGCGTCTTCTCACTGTGAAAATCACAGTGAGAAGCGCGGAAGCGCCTCCAGCTGCTGTCAATGAGACAGCCACTAGAGGCTGGATTAACCCATATGTTAACATAGCAGTTTCTCTAAAAGGGACCTGGCACCCAGACCACTTCATTGATCTGAAGTGGTCTGGGTACCTATAGTGGTCCTTTAAAAACATCTTTGAGCAGGACATTATAATTGCAAAATCTAATTCCTTATAAAAGGTATCCAAATTATTTTACAAAGTAACTTTTTTTTGGTAAAATGATTAGTTTTGCTTCCAAAGACAAGGCATCAGGTTTACGCCCAGCTATGCCAGCCTCTTTTAGTCAGATTAGAAAATGGCGCTATTTTGAGAGAGGATTCTTGGGCTGCAAATCTGGTGCTATACTGTCAATATATCGACAACCTCTATTTTTATATGGGACTGCCAAGAAACAACAATACTGTCTGACGATCTTAAAAAACAGACAAATGTAAAAAAAATTAGATTAATACTTAAATATACTAAATAAAGCTGATGTGTTAAAAGTTAAGCCAATAGTTTTAAGGGGCACCATAAGCCTCAAATCTTTGTAACAAAAATGTATATAAAAAAAAAACAAAACATTTTTAAAAATAAGACATTTTTAAATCAAAAAGTTTTTTTTTTAAAATGTTAAACATGTATAGCAACAATAACTACTGGTAACAATAGTGACAAAATAAATTAATTAAAATCCAACAATACAAAGAAACCTTTGGCAATACTCTTATTAGTAATTACTCTATAGAGAACAATGAATTGCAATTTTCTGTCAGACTTCAATGCAGAGACAACCCTGGTTACTTCTTGGCAACTCAAACGAACTCAGACTCTGTTTATTGTATAAATTTCCACTTTACATAGATCACAGCGTACAGTAAAAAAAATATTGCACAAACATTATCACCAATGGGAAAACAGAATAGGGCACATAGAACACACAGGAAAGAACTGGCTACAAAGTGATTCATTACCCTAGCCCCCACTGCCCCCCTCCCTCAAGTGCAAGCCCATTCTGACAACAAATGGTTTTCTTGATTGGACCCACTGTCCCTTCAGAGCAATATCTGATTACATCAACACAGCCCTTTGCTATAGTAGATAACATCTGACTTGTTGGCCCCAACAGTAGGTGGTCACGTACAGTACAAAATGTAACTTGATCACATACAAAATTAATTTCACATCTGATTATACTTTGTGCCTGCATAGAGAGCTGCTGTCCCTCCCCCACTCTTGACCCACAGCTGCATATACAGACACACACACTGCTCTGTGTATAATACAGGTACAGAATACAGAGATGCCCATGTACATTGAAAGCAGTTACAAAATGGCACCGCAAGTTTGCGGCTTGTGCAAAACAAATCAGGGGGATTAGGCCATCCATCACAGTGCATCATATTGCCTTCCAGTCACATGACCAGACTATTCTCTCCTTTTTATTCTCCTTTTCTTTTTTGTCTCCTCTCTTCTCCTACTCTCTTTTCTGATACATTAAAATCTCATATTCTATGTATTTTAAATCATATACTCTGGCTCTCGTGGTCATGT